AAGGCCAGGGACTGAACTTCCCAGTCCTTCCCTACATGGAACGAGGGAGAGAAAATGTGTTTATCCTAGCCTCAAGAACAGTCTGGTGGTCTCTGCACAGCCTAGTTTATGTTTTCAGAGAATTGAGGGGTATACCTCATTTATCCACAACTATCCCTGCCTCTAAGGAGGTACACAAACCAAGCCTTTATGGACTACTTTCTAAATAACTGAATGTAAACCAGGTGGCCTGTAGTCTCAGCTAGACTAGAAAGCTGAAGTGGGACGATCACTAGAGCCCAGGAGTTCAGATCAGCTTAGATAACACAGGAAGACTCCTTTTCAACAGAAACAAAACACTAAATAGTTAAATGGGTCTGAGGGAAGGACCACCCAGGTAGAGGGTCTCCATAGCACATCTGTGATGGAGCTGACCCTGAGGAAAAGAGGCTAAGCAGCAGAATACATTATATTGGAGGCCAGAATGACCTGGCCTTGGCTGAAACCAGTTTCTACCACGGGGGGGGGGGGGGTGTCATCAGGGTTCCATGGAAAATGAGGAAATGCTCGCTTCCCCCATGCTCAAGTTAAGGGCTATTTTCTGATCTCGTTGCAGTTTCTGGCACCAGACTTGCTACTGATCTGAAGCTGCCAGGGCCTCTTTTTCACTCCTCCATATATCATAGTTATTGACTCTACCTGACACAGATAACAGAAGCAAGAAAAAAGTTTGATGAGAAACTTGGGGAAATGCCAGGGAAAGGCCTGCCCTGACTCTCATATTGACCCTCCTCTGAAGCCACAATGATCTGTGTGTTCCATCTTTCAACAACATGTATCATCTCATTTATGTCAGGCTGGTGGTGTAGCTTAGTTGGTAGAGTACTTATCTCGCAGGCAGGAAGTCCTGAGTTCAATCCCTCTTACTACATAAACCATGTGTGATGGCACACACCTGTAATCCCAACACTTAGGTGGCAGACCAGAAAGACCAGAAATTCAAAATCATCCTTGGCTGCGTAGAGTTTCAGACCAGCCTGGACTACATGAAACTCTGGCTCAAAAAAAAATTTTTTTTTAAATTCTACGTCAATATCAGATTATGTGGCTTGCCCAAGATCTCACAACCAATAAATGAAAGAGCCAGACCTTGTGGACATGGTGGTACACACCTGTAATCCCTATCCTTGAGGGGCAGAAGCAGAAGGATCAGGAGTTCCAGGTCATCCTCAGCTACAGCTACATAGTAAGTTTGAGGCCAGCTTGCACTGTGTGAAACCCTGTCTCAAAAATGAAAAATATGGGGCTAGAGAGATGACTCAGTGGTTAAGAGCACTGGTTGCTCTTGCAGAGGACCCAGGTTCGATTCCCATCACCCATGTGACAGCTAACTCCAGTTCTAAGGGATCTGACACCCTCTTCTGACCTCCTTGGGCATTGCACGACATGGGTGCATTTACATGCATGCAGCCAATACACTCTGTATAATAATAAAAATAAATATTTTTTAAATAAAAAATACACTTAAAAAATAAATGAAAGCTCTGGTATGGTGGCACACACCTTTAATCACGGCACTCTAGAGGCAGAGGCAGGCATATTTCTGTGAGACTGAGGCCAATCTGGTCTATAAAGCAAATTCCAGGCTAGCTAGGGCTACAAGGAGACCCTGTCTCAAAAAAAAAAAAAAAAAATGTCTTCTCCCCCTAGATTCTGTTACCCTTTCCAATCCAGTTACTCCTGAATAGCCCTGAATATCTCAGGTCACAGTGGTTTTCTCTGTGTTTCCTAGGTTTGGGGCTCCCCTCAAGCTAAGAACTCTTTAAGAAAAAAAGGCTGGTACTTTCCATCCTCCAGAACTCAGTAAAGGGGTAGGTATGTTTAGCTTATGAAGTAGCAATTAGATTTCATCTTTGTTCACCTTTGTTAATCTTTGGGGAATGTCTCTAGTTTAGGCCCTAAACATATACCTTCATCCAATAGAATCAACAGTGAAACAGACTATTCCCAGGAAGCAACTGCTTACAGAAAGAAAATAGAGGCTTCTTTATCATCTTCTCCATAATTACCTGGGGTCTGTGGCTTTAGTTCAGGCACTCCTCTCAGGAAATCATTTTGCTGAGGGAAAGAAAAGCCATGTTAGGGCCTGGAGAGCTGCTCAGTGGTTAAGAGCACACACTGCTCTTGCAGAGCATCCAGGTTTAGTTCCCATCACCCACCTCAGGCATCACAACCTCCTATAACTCCAGCTCTAGGGGGCTCCAATGCTTCTGGTCCCCATATGCACCTGTATGCATGTGTACATACACACAGATACACCCATACACATAATTTAAAATAAAGACAGAAAGAGGTCATTTTGGAAATTGGAGTAGCCAAAGGGCATCAAGCTCTAGATTGGGAAGGCTAGGAAGGACAATCCCATTTCTTCTACTCTGATTTTTGGAGGTTTTCTCAGTAGACAGGCTCTTCCTTGGAAGCATTTATAAGAATGCTCTGTTATGGTGATTCACTTTTGTAACCCAGAACTCAAGGTCAGTCCCTATCTCAAAAGCCAAAGTTGAGTATCATGGCACAATAACACATGCCTGTAATCCCAGTACTCAGGAGGTTGAGACAGGAGGATCAGGAATTTAAGGCCAGTCTCCATTAAATAAGAACATCTATTTTTTTTTTTAAAAAAAAAAGAATGAGCCAGGCATGGTGGCACATGCCTTTAATCCTTGGGAGGCAGAGGCAGGAGGCTTTCTTTGTGAGTTCAAGGCCAGCCTGGTCTACACAGTGAGTTCTAGGCCAGCTGGGGCTACAAAAAGACCCTGTCTCAAAAAGACCAAAAAAAAAAAATGTTGGACTTTGCCACAATTGAAAGCGGTGATGGGCCTGTGATGGAGCCAGTCAAGGCCAAAGTAATTACAAGCCTCTTTCTCCATGGCCTATGGCTTGTAGAGTCTGGTAAGAAAGAAATTCCAGATCTCTGCTGGCATTTTCCCTGTCATTAGCTGTAGCCTCAAGACCCATGTAGGTAGGGGTCCTTTAAAGCCCAGTTTGGAGCTATTTCTATTTCCAGAGTTTTGCTAGGGCTACAGTATCTACCATGGACTTCCCACCTATGGCAGGTAGGAAGAAAGAACTGTGCACACAGGCTTCCTTTCACCAGCAGTTACCACTTGGACAGTTATCAGTGTTGTAGACATATTACTTCCTCCATAGATGTTCACCCCCTCAACCCAAAGGTTCCTTTTCCCTAGGACCAAGGCTAATTCACACAAGTTCTCAGAAAATCTGGCAGTATGTAGCAAAACCAAAAACATACTCATGTGTTTTGATCCAAACAACCCTATATCTGGAAATCTGTCCATAGACATTCCGCAAGTGATCGATAGGATGTCTGTGTGGTAACTGGAAATGTGCATGATGTAATGATAAAAAATAACTCTGTAAGAATTAACCAAGAAGTTAGCCAGATATAACAGTAGCATTAGAATAATGGATTGATTGCAGATTCTCTTTCCCAAACTTTACATATTAGAATTTTGATTTTCTATCCTACTCTACCATTCAAGGTTTATCAATCAGGAGCAGAGAGTAACAGCACAATCAGATGGGAAAATTAAGTTTATTAGGTGCATCACCTCTTTTTTCCCATTTCTAGGTCTTTATACCTACTTTCTTTTTAAAACTTTTTTAAATTTTTATTTATTTATTTTATGTGTATTCGTGTATTGCCTACATGTAGGTAAGTGCACCCGTGTCATGCAATGCCCATGGAGGTCAGAAGAGGCTGTTGGATCCCCTGGGACTGGAGTTACGGACAGTTGTTAGCTGCCATGTGGGTGCTAGGATTCAAATCCAGGTCTTCTGCAAGAATAACCAGTGTTCTTGACCACTGAGCCATCTCTCCAGCCCCTACACCTGGTTTCTTTAACTCTTTAAGTCACACAACATTATTGAGCACCACTTACTTGGGAAACAGACTTTCAAGTACTGTAAGCAAATTATTTCATCACACATTCAGTAAGAGCTCACGCAGGAGTTAAGAGCACACTGCTCTTCCAAAGGACACCAGTTCCGTTCCCAACACCCACATCAGGTAGCTCACAACCACATATAACTCCACCTACAGAGGATCCAACATCCTCTTCTGGTCTCTACTGGCACCTGCACACAGATACATACATATAAATAATTTTTTTAAACGTACAAAAATACAGTGGCATGCAGACCTATATAATCCCAGCACTTGAGAAGCTGAGGCAGAATCAGTTCAAGGCCTGGCTACCCTGTCTCAAAGATTTTTACTAACAACAATGCACATATAAACTGAGTGTTAATAAGAACCACAAAAAAAAAAAAAAAAAGCAGTTATCTGCCAAGGGGAAAGCTTCCAAAAGTGGGGGGTGATTGAAGTCCAGGTTTGAAGTTTATCTGCCAAGACGAAGGGGATACGTGTACAAAGACAGGACCGCATGAACAGCATGGAGCATTTAGGAAATTACTGATGGCTTTTCAGGGTTGGAAGGCAAGTGGTGGGGGTGGCTGTGTGGTACGTACGCAAGTAAAAGCTTTAGTCATAGTTGGACGGCTGCAGGATCCAGTGTTTCAAGGCGGGCTTCCTACTTCGCGGCAAATCATTAGATTTGCACTTTAGAGAGCTGACTCTAACCCATGTGAAGAGCAGACAGAAGGCTGTTTTCAGCAGAAAGGGAGGTCTTTGGGTTTGGGCCAGGTGGGGAAGAAAGGGTGGTCCCACCGAGACCAGCAGACTCCTTTTCTCAGCATCCTGACTTACACTTGGCCAGCGCCAAGCAGCTCCGGGATCTCCCTCCCTCTGCTCCCCGTGGGCCCGGAGCGGGCGGGCAGGCGGCCGAGCCGGGGAGGTTAGGCAAAGGGTGGCCCTGCCTGGGTGGTCTCCTGCCCCGCCCCCTGCGGCGCCGTTACCTAGCAACGGATCCGGCAGCCAGGCTCCGGGTAATTTGCGGCCCCTCAGCCAATGGGAGGGCGTTACCCACCCACTCCCTTTTTCTGAGGCTCCCCCTGCCTCTCGGGCACTGCAATCGGCACCTAGAGGTACGCGGTATACCGCAGCCAGCTCGTTCTACCTACTCGGAACCCAGTTTGGACGACGCCCGCCCAGCATCCAGCAGTGCCCGGGTCTGCACCACACTGCTCTCCCGCTCCTCGCAGCATCCGCATCTCCCCGCCACCGCGCTCTCGCGGCCCCAAGGACGCCCCACGTGAGGCCGGGCGGCACGAGGGTCCCAGGTAGCCTATGGACGCGCCCAGATAACGCAGGTTGGGGGCGCTCGCGCCCCCCATTCTCCCCAGCATGGTCCGGCCGCCGCCCCTTGGAGAGCTGCCTCCCAGCTACACACCTCCGTCCGCAGCGCCACAGGTGAGTGAAGGAGAATCTAGACATCTGTCATTCGGACCTCTGCAGGGTGTGCATGGTGGTTGAATGTCAAGTGTTTGTGCATCCGTGTTTGAGGACCAGTGAGAGCTAGCAAGTAATGTCTGCTTCTGTCATCTAGTCGGTGAAAACGAATGTGTCTCTGGGATCACCCCGGTGTCCAGCTGACAAGTGTGTGTGCGTGGATCTTAACTCAAAACGGGCCTTCTTTGGGGTGTTTGGGGCGGAGGCAGAAGGGAAGGGAGTTAAATCTTAAGAATTTGAGCCTATATCTGTAGCCGCTTCCTGTTTTATATTCAGAAATCAAGAAGCCAGGGCTTGACAGAGGGAGAGAGGAAGAACTTAAGGCATTGTTACAGTGACACCTGGCTGACCCTTCTCTTTCCATCCGTCCCAGATCCTAGCTGTGAGCCTGAAGGCTCCTCTCTGGCTTCGTGCTTACTTCCAGGGCCTGCTCTTCTCTCTGGGCTGCAGGATCCAGAGACACTGTGGCAAAGTGCTCTTCCTGGGACTGTTGGCCTTTGGGGCTCTGGCACTGGGTCTCCGCGTGGCCATTATTGAGACAGACCTGGAACAGCTCTGGGTAGAAGGTGAGTTATAGACCTGACCATAGCTGCTTCGGTATGTCCAGCCCAAGACAAGGACAGGGAGCTGGCCACTGAGTCCTAACAAGTCTGGTCAAGGATCTTGAGGAGCATCTCTTGGTTGGAGCCTGTGTATCTGGGCACACTGGAGAATTTCCCCCAACCTCCTTCAGTGTGAATGGAGCCCAGGGCATTGTGCATGCTAGGCAAGTACTCTACCACCTAGATGCATTCTCATTCTTGCACCCCCTACCTCTCACCCACCAATGGACACCTAGAGAGTGGTATCCTAAGACTAAGTGTATAGAATATTTATCTTTGATTATGTGTGTTTATTTAGCATTTATGACCAGCCTTCTATTTTTTTCCCCAATTGTACAGCAAGGTTTACCGATGTAACAAGATCCATTTTTCATAGCAAGGAAAATAAAATATGTCCCAGGATAAGTACAATAAAAAGCAAAGCAGAATGTGACCATGTTGTGTAAGAGAGGGCAAGAGGAGACTTCTTAGCAGGAGACTCAGAAGTGAAGACTGTGATTCTAGCTACTCCGGGTAAAGTAAGGAATTAAGCCTAGGAATTCAATGATAGTCTCAGGGAGAAAGAGACTCAGAGAGAGGAAAAGAAAAGTTAGAAAAATGGCTAGTGGGTCCTATCTCAGTGGCAGAGCACTTGCCTACTATGCATAAGACCCTGGGTTTGATCCAAGGCACCGCAAAAAGAGAAAAAATAAAGATTAGGACTGGAAGGCTAGGAAAACCAGTGAACCATCTGGCCAGGCCTCCAGGTAGAAACCTCATGTTCCCAGACCCCTGCAGTCATCAAGGGGAGAAATGGCATAGACTGCACTTTGAGGCAATAGGTCAAATGGGATCAAATCCTCACTTCCTAATTTCAATATGTCTCTATTCTTTCCTAAGATCTGGTTTCATATGGCAGCTGTTTGATAAAGTCAAAGTCTATTCTATTCTTCCCTGGGAAATTTACATTTGTGGGCTCCCCAGACCGCCTCCAACTCTGGCCCATACCCAAACGCAGATCCCAGGTTGGAATCTCACCCTCAAGTTATTTCAAATGCTGGCAAGTCTAGGATTCAGAGCAGATGTTTCTTGGAGCCTGCCTGTTTCTTGGGCTCCCACACCCCGTCCCCACCCTAACGCCAGTCCTCTGCAGACTCTCATGCAGTTGCACTAAGACAGCCCTAGGGTCCAGAGCAGATGTTTTTCCCTGCCAGCCTGCCCCCAGCATCAGGACACACATGTGCATACACGCACACATGCATACCCCCCACATAAACCACTGCTGCCTGGGTGGTCCCTAATGACTTTCCTGCCACAATAAAGTGTGTCTTCCTCCCATGCCCTTCCCTTCCTTTCTGCATTCCCCAGATCTTCTGCAGCTAAACACCACTTAGATATAAGATACACTTAGACATACTTTCTCATCCCTCTTCTGCCCTCCACTGATTTTTTTTTTTTTTTTTTTTTTTTTTTTTTTTTTTTTTTTTTTTTTTTTATGTTTTTTTTTTTTTTTTTTTTTTTTTTTTTTGCTATGGTAGCTGATTCGTAGACTTTTAGGTTCTCCCCTTTGTCATCCAGGCTGACCTTGACCTTGGGATCCCCCCTCCTGCCTTAGACTCTAGAGTGTTAAGATTAGTGGGAGCTATCCTAGAAGTAGAGATCTATTCTAAAAGCAAAGATCTAGCCGGGTGTGGTCACTCACACCTTTAGTCCCAGCACTCAGGAGGCAGAGGCAGGAGGATATCTGTGAGTTCCAGACCAGGCCAGCCTGGTCTCCATAGCGAATCCAGATCAGCTAGGGCTATGGGGAGTCCCTGTCTCAAAAAAAAGCAGAGATCTAGAGGAGCACTCTAAAAGCAGAAATCTTGGCGTGGTCTTTTCTCTGTAGATCTCAAGTCTTCTTTAATGCTCTTCACACTGAAGAGCTGATTGAATTGAGGACTGAAGGGAATTTCCTGTTTCCCATTTTGCTAATACAAAAAGTGAAAGGTTATGAATTGAAGGTCCTCCTTGGTGTTGCAGTGGTGAAACTAAAATGTGATATGTTTTCCCTTGCCTTTCCTGTTTCTTGGTTTGATTTGGTTTGGTTTTTTTCCCTAGAGATCAACACCCCCCGCCCCGCAACCCAGTCAACTTAAAACTAAATGGCGCTAGGGCTGGGGAGATGGCTTAGTGGGTAAAGTGCTTGTTATACAAAGCTTGAGGACCCGAGTTTGGATCCCAACATCCACATAAAAGCCAGGCATGTCAGCATATACCTGTAACTCCAGCACTCAGTGAGCAGGCTAGGCAGATCCTAGGGATTCCTGGCCAGGCAAATGAATAGGTAGAGAGTGATAAAAGACACTTGATTCTCTCTCTAGCCTTTGTCTACACTTGTGCACAGGCACACACGCATGTGCATACATTCACACACATAGACACACAAATAATTAGTTTAAAGAATAAGGTAGTGGCCAGGCGTGGTGGCGCTCGCCTTTAATCCCAGCACTCAGGAGGCAGAGGCAGGCAGATCTCTGTGAGTCCAAGACCAGCCTGGTCTACATAGTGAGTTCCAGAACAGCTGGGACTACAGGGAGACCCTGTCTAAAAAAGACCAAAGGGGGAAAAAAAATTAGGCAGTGCTTGTTGTGATGGTGCGTGCCTTTAATCACAGCACTTGGGAGACAGAGGCAGGCGGATCTTTATGAGATTGAGGTCTGCCTGGTCTATATAGCAAGTTCCAGGCTAGCTGGGACTACAGGGAGACCCTGTCTCAAAAACAAAAACAAAAAAATAGGGCTGGAAAGATTGTTCAGGGTTACAAGCACTGACTGCTCTTGGAGAGGACCAGGATTCAATTCCTAGCACCCACATGGCAGCTAATAGCCGTTCTTAACACCAGTTCCAGGGGAATCTGATATCTTCTTCTGACCTTCTCGGGCATTGCATGACTTACACATGCAGGCAATACACTCATACACATAAAAATTAAAATAGCGGGTGTTGGTGGTGCTCACCGGTAGGATTTGCTGAAGGAGGCAGAGGCAGGAGGATCTGGAGTTTGAGGCCAGCCTGGGCTACATAGTTCCAGGACAGCTGGGGCTACAGGGAGACCCTGACTTAAAAAGACCCCCCGCAAAATTTTTTATTATTTTTATTTTTTGTGTATGAGTATATTGTCTGCATGTGAGTGCACCCATGTCGTGCAATGCCGCAGAGGTCAGAAGAAGGCTTCGGATTCCCCTGGAATTGGAGTTAAGGACGGTTCGTAGCCGCCATGTGGGTGCTGGGAATCAAACCTGGGTCCTCTGCAAGAGCAGTCAGTGCTCTTAACCGCTGAGCCATCTCTCCAGCCCCATAAATTTAAAAAAAAAAAAAATAAGGTAGAAAACAATAGAAGACACCTGATGTCAACATCATTCTCTGACCTCATAGGACTATGAGTGTACACAGGTATACGCCACAAACATACAAAGTAGATAATCCATAAAATGAAAATTCCAGTATATAGCCTGACTTGTACGGACCAGAACTGTGATAGAGGCAGTTTGAAATTAGAGCTGTCCCTAAAGATGTCTATCAGACAACCATTCAATGAGGAAGGCAAAAGATGATCACCCATCTGCCTTTGGAGCCGCCAGCTGTGCAGAGCTAAATCCTTAGGAGTTGGTCTCAGTTCTTCTCCATCACCTATTGGTTAGTAAACCAGCAGGTTTTTCCTTTTTAATCTATCTTACAGCTAACCCATCCTATCTACCCTTGTAATAGTACTCTAGCTAAGACCTTTTTCAATCTGCAAAACACTAATAATTATATCATTTAGAGTCCTTATAGCCACAAGAAAGAAAAAGAAATGGGATAACTAGAACAGGAGGGAAGGAGACTGAGGTTTCATTCTCTGTAATAGGACATTTGGCAATAGAGAAGTTCCAGGGTAGTTAATTCAACAGACCAAAGACATCGGCCAGGACGCAGGTCTTTCTGTCTTTCTTCTCTGTTAGCTTCAGCATTGGAGACTTTTGTCTTCAGGCTTTTCCCAAGGAAACTATTGCAGCTGGACATGGCAGCAGACACCTTCACTCCCAGCACTGGGGAGCTAGAAGCAGGAGGATCTGAAGTTCAAGGCTAGACTCGGCTATAGGGGCTGAGTTCAAGGCCAGTCTGCAATGCATGAGATCCTGCTGTCTCAAAATGATGATGGTGGTGATGATGACGATGGTGATGATGAAGATGAAGAAACAAGGAAGCTGCTGTGGACAATGGAAGCTCTGTCTGGACATGGTGGCTCATGCCTAGAAGCAGAGGCAGGGGTATTTCTGAGAGTTCCTGGCAGCCAGGGATGTATAGACAGAACTTATCTCAAAAAAAGGAAGAAAAAGCAAATTATCTCTTTCTTACATTGCCCCCTCCCTTTTTGGTTTTTTGTTTTGTCTTGAGACAGGGTCTCATGTGACCCAGGCTATCCTGGAACTCCCTAAGAACTAAAGGATAACCTTGATCCTCCTGCCTTCAAACAGGTGTGCGCCTCTATACCCAGTTATATTTGGTACTGAGGATCAGAGTACTAACAAGCACTCTACATCCCCAACCCTGTATATCTCTTTAAAGTGAGGAAGATCAGGCCTGGTTACACAGGGCTATAATCCTACTTACTTGGGAGGCCGAGAGGAGATTGTAAGTTCAAGGCCTGCTTGCGCCATAGGGAGTTCAAGGACAGTCTGAACAATTTAGTGGGACTCTTGCCTCAAAATTTAAAGTGTTGGGACTGGGGAGATGGCTCAGTGGTTAAACCGAGTTCAGATCCCCAACACCCATGTTAAAGCTGTGGTGGTGCACATGTGTAGCTACAGTGCTAGTAGGGAGAGACATGGATCCAGGAGGCTCACTGGCCAGCCAGTGTAGCAGAAATGGCTACGAGAGGTTCCGAGAGGTCAGGTTCCGAGAGACCCTGTCTCAAAAAACAAGGTGAACAGCTATAAAGGAAAATGCCTGACATTGAGCTCTGGTCTCCACATGGGGTGCACACATACTCACGCACGAGCACTCGCACACGTGCGCATGCGCACACACACACACACACACACACATTTAAAGCATTTTTTAAGGGGGTTGAGGATATGGTTCAGTGGTAATTTGCTTGCCACAGCCCTAGGTCAGTACCAACTACAATGGTATGAATGGTTGAATGGATGGATGGATAGACAGACAGATAGATTAAATTTTAAAAGTTTTTTTACATAAGCCTCCCAGCCAATTTCCAATTTCCTGTTTGGTCTCCTTGGCAAGGATAATATTGTTCATAAATCCTTCACTTGGCAAAAAGCATTAGATTTCTGTGTTTAGATTCTTAGACAATCTGATTCTACCCCCTGGCTCTAGAGAGGAGTCCAGCTGTCTTTAATCACTGGGTCTTTCAGAAGATGGCTAGTGAAAGCAAGGCTGTTAGCCTGGAGGATGAGGACAATGGATCAACCTCTCCTTCGACTCTGCCATATCACCCCCATGTGGCACATCGAAATCTGGTCTTGCCTATCTCCTGCTTAGAGCTTCCCATCGGAAGCTTCTTTGCTTCATATTAGATTCTGTAGTCTTCAGAATCATGTCTGGTCTTGTATAGCACACATTATAGACTTCCCATAGTCTGATCCAGTTATTTCTCCAGCATTGTCTCTGGCTCCTAACAGTATTGGAACTCCAAGCCTTTACCAGTACCTTGTAGCACTGGTTCCTGAGCCCCTTTTCCTGTCTAATTCCCTGGGCCAGCTCTTACTAGCTTGTTAGATAATGAAAAGTTCAGACCATCTCACTCTTCTGTTCAGAACCTATATGATTCCTGTTTCATTCACAATGCCTGACTCCCTACAATAGCTCTTAAGCCCTTATAGGTGAAATTTTTGGACAGCTGATTATGAGCATTAATATTGCAATATCCAAACAGCATGCCAAATTACATTCCCATGGTAGACCTCTATAATCCAGCAATGAGTGATTTCAATTTTTAAATTTTTTGTAATTCATTGCTGTTTTGGTGTTGAAGCAGGGTCTAACATTAGCTCAAGCTGGCCTCAAACACAGTGATCCTATTTCAGCTTCTTCAGTGCCAGCCTGAGCTACATGAAACACTAAAAAAGTAAAAAGTGGTAGAGGGAAGACGAGATATTGCTCAGTTGGTGGAGTGCTTGCCTATCGTGCGTAAAGCCTGTTACTTCCCATTACTATGTATAACCCAGCATGGTGACATACACCTGTAATCCCAGCAGGAGGCAGGAGGCAGGAAGAGGTAGTCCATGTGTTATAACCTGTAAGGTAGATGCTATGTGGGTTAAGCACCATTTGTAAAGGTACAAAAGCTTTTGATAGGTATGTTAATTTTTATGTTCTTTTCCTCCTCTTTCTCCTATTTCTTCCCCAGCTATCAAAGGTCCTCTGCAAATATTTCTTTTTTGTTATTTTTATTTTGTTATTTTATGTGCATGACTGTTTTTCTGTTCACTTTGGCAGTAGACAGCCGGGTGAGCCAGGAACTGCATTACACCAAAGAGAAGCTGGGGGAAGAGGCTGCATACACCTCCCAGATGCTGATTCAGACTGCACGGCAGGAAGGGGAAAACATCCTCACATCTGAGGCACTTGGCCTTCACCTCCAGGCTGCCCTCACTGCTAGTAAAGTGCAAGTATCACTCTACGGAAAGTAAGTCTGGCCAAGCCCCTAAGTGGCTGGACGTGAGGCTTGATGTGACAGTTCTAGAATGGGGACCCCTCTAATGCAGATCACCTGTGTCCATGGCTGTTGCAGGTCTTGGGATTTGAACAAAATCTGTTACAAGTCAGGAGTTCCCATTATTGAAAATGGAATGATTGAGCGGGTGAGTAGCCTGAACTGTTCCCAAAGACTGGGCAGAGGCAGTATAGGCTCCATGAGGGGTGGGATAGGTGTTGGGAGGGTTACAGACGGCATCCTACAGAGTTCTTGGGGAAAAGGACCCAGGGGCAGGACTGATGTGACCTGGGGTGTCCTTGGCAGATGATTGAGAAGCTGTTTCCGTGTGTGATCCTTACCCCGCTTGACTGCTTCTGGGAGGGAGCCAAACTCCAAGGAGGCTCTGCCTACTTGCCGTGAGTGCTGCTACCGCTGCCCCTGAAGTCCTGTTTCATCTCCTGCCAGGGACTTTCCCCAAACGAAAGGAGAGGTGTGGGGGCAGGAATGAGAGGGATGAAAACCTTGCCAAGTTCTGATTACTTCCCAGGACAGGATCTGAGCCTCAGCTGCCCAAGGCCCTCCACCAGCCCCTTCTCACCTCTGAAGGGAAGGAAGGCCTGTCTCATGTAGACAAAGCACACAGATCCAGAAAAAGGAGAAGATCTCTAGAGATTTCCTGTTAGGATTAGCTAACCTGTTGCCTGGAGTAGAAAGGAAACCTGTTAGATGCAGGTGCCTGTCTGGTTATAGGTTAGAACCAAGGGTAAATAGATATCTGGTATGGATTCAAGGGGACTTTTCTGAACTTAACCACGTATTAAGCACATCTGCCCCCATGTCTGTCTCAGCCCCTCATCTGTCCAGAGCTCATTGCATGGCAGCTGAGCCTTGCATACCATATCTCTATACGACAGATCAGCACATAAGAGGAGGATGGAGTCAGCAGGGGTCCATAGTAGGAGTGAGGAGGATCGGTGTTGAGTTTTGACCTTTGTTAACCATGGGCTCTCCTCTCAGGGGTCGCCCTGACATCCAGTGGACCAATCTGGATCCCCAGCAGCTGCTAGAGGAGCTGGGCCCTTTTGCCTCACTGGAGAGCTTCCGGGAGCTGCTAGACAAGGCACAGGTGGGCCAGGCCTATGTGGGGCGGCCCTGTCTAGACCCTGATGACCAGCACTGCCCACCAAGTGCCCCTAACCATCACAGCAGGCAGGTGGGTTCCTGACTAGATCTACCAAAAAAAGGCTTTCCTTCTCTCTTCCTCATGTGTTCCTATGTCCTCTGGGCATTGCCACTTCCTACTGTGAGTGTTTCATTTTCATTCATTTCTAAGGAACCTTCAGAGCACATGAATCCCTTTTCCTTTTTTTTTTTCCTTAGTTTATTTAAATGGGTTTGTTTGTTTCATTTTTATGTGTATGTGTGTATTGCCTGTGTGTAGGTAAGTGCACCGGTGTTGTACAATGCCCAGGGAGGACAGAAGAGGCTGTCAGATCCTCTGGAACTGGAGTTATGGACAGTTGTTAGCTGCCATGTGGGTGCTGGGATTCGAACCCAGGTATTCTGCAAGAACAACCGGTGTTCTTAACCGCTGAGCCATCTCTCCAGCGCCCCCTTTTCCTTTTTTTTTTTGTTTTATTTTTTTTGTATTATTGTTTTGTTTTCAGTGTTTTAAAGATCTTTTTTCATAAATGTGTACATATATTTGTGTGTGTGTGTGTGTGTGTGTGTGTGTGTGTGTGTGTGCGCGTGTATATACATATGCTGCCTGTGGGCAGGTACCCATGGAAGCCAGAAGAGGGTGTCAGATGCCCTGGAGCTAGAGTTACAGGCAGTTATGACTGCTCGGTATTAGTATTGAGAATCAAACTTAGACTCCTCTGGAGGAACAGGAAGCACTCTTAACTGCTGAGCCATCTCTTCAGGCCCCGTTTTTCAGGGGGTTTTGGTTTGTTTGTATTGGTGTCTTGAGACATGATTTCCCTATAGCCCCAGCTGACCTGAAGTCCCTATGTAGATAAGGCTGGTCTCCATCTCCCAGAGATCCACCAGTCTCTGCCTCCTGAGTGCTGGGATTAAATGTGTACACGACCATACTCAACCTTGTTTGTTGGTTTGGTTTGGTTTGATTTTGGTTTGGGGTTTTGTTGGGTTTTTTTCAACTTTTTTTTGTGTGTGTATGCGTGTATTACCTGCATGTAGGTAAGTGCACCCATGTCGTGCAGTGCCCTCAGAGGTCAGAAGAGGCTGTCTCATCCCCTGGGACTGGAATTACAGACAGTTGTAAGTGCCATGTGGGTGCTGGGATTCGAACCTGGGTCTTCTGAAAAAACCTTGTTCTTAACCACTGAGCCATCTCTCCAGACCCAAGTTTTGGGAGATTTTTTGTTGTTTTTTTTTTTTGAGACAGGATCTCCTTGTAGCTCCAGCTGGCCTGGAACTCACTTTGTAGACCAGGCTGGCCTTGAACTCACAGGGATCCACCTGCCTCTGCCTCCCAAGTCCTGGGATCAAAGGTGTGCACTAACATGCCTGGCATGCTTGTTTGTTTTTTAATATTTTATTTATTATTTTTATTTTATGTGTATGAGTGTGTTGCCTGCATGTATGTGAGTGCACCCATGTTGTACAATGCCGCAGAGGTCAGAAGACGGCTTTGGATTCCCCTGGAACTGGAGTTAAGGGCAGTTCGTAGCTGCCATGTGGGTGCTGTTGCTCGAACCCCAGTCCTCTACAAGAGCAGTCAGTGCTCTTAACCACTGAGCCATCTCTCCAGCCCTGCTTGTTTTTTTGAGACAAGGCCTCACTCTGTAACCCTAACTGGGCTGAAACTTGCTATGTAGACCAGGCTAGCCTCAGACTCACAGAGATCTGCCTGCCTATGTAGTCCTGGCTGGTCTAGAACTTGCTATATAGGCCAGATTGGCCTCAGATTTCTGGCAGTCCTCCTGTCTCTGCCTCCCAAGAGGTGAGATTATAGGCATTTGATAATATGCCAGGCTCTGTTCTGTTCTGTTGTTCTGTTCAACAGGGTCTTACTACAGCACGAGCTGGCTTGGAACTAATATGTAGACTAGGCTGGCTCGATCTCACAGAGATACCCTACCTGTGCCTCCAGAGTGCTGGGATTAAAGGCATGCACCACCACACCTGGCCCCCCTTTTCGTTTTTAAAGCAGGGTTTCACGTAGTTTAGGCAGGCCTCTAATTCACTGTGTAGTTTACGATGACCTTGAACACCTGATCTTCCTACCTCCACCTTCCAAGTGCTTGCTACTGCTTGCTTGCTTCCTTCTTTCCTTTCCTCCCTCCCTCCCTCCCTCCCTCCCTTCTTCTTCCCCCTCCCCCTCCTTTTTTTCCTTCACTTTTTGGGAGGCAGATGCCACTTTAAACTGTTTCCTCATTCCTCCACATCCTGCCTGCCTGGATTATAAGCCTGAACCACCATACCCAGCTTCTTTTTCCTTTTCTAAACTCAAATCTATACTTTATCAAAATAGAATATACATGGAAACTTAGAACAAAATATCTAGTGCTGAGGATGTAGCTCAGTTAGTACAGCGCTTGCCTAGATGCATCAAACCCTGGGTTCAGTCCCCAGCACCACATAAAACTGGGTGTGATAGCTCATGCCCATAAATCCCAGCACTTTTGGGGTGGAGACTGAAGGATCAGACATGTAAGGTCATCCTAAGTTATATGTAAATTCAAGGCCAGCCTAGGCAACATGAAACAGTGTTTCAAAAAAAGAAAAATCATGTATATCATACCTAATTTCCCAAGTGTCTATGTGGCCCTGGATGTGGGATTGTTTCTAAAACCTACTTGTAGTTAGGTTACATCCTCCAAGAAGGCTATTTCTAGACCTTTGATCCCTCTCGTGACCACCTGTCAGGCTAAAGGCACAGAAGAACAAAGTCCTCTGTATTTCAGACCCACTAAACCCTGGTGGGTATGATTCCTAGAGGTACATGGATACCTAATTTATCCACAGTTTTATTTATATCTTTTTTTTTTGTCTTTTTGAGACAGGGTCTCCCTGTAGCCCCAGCTGCCCTGGAACTCACTATGTAGACCAGGCTGGCCTTGAACTCACAGAGATCTGCCTGCCTCTCCCACCCGAGTGCTGAGATTAAAGGCATGCACCACCATGCCCGGCCCTATTTTTTATTTTATGTGTATGCACCCGTGTCATGCAATGCCCACAGAGGTCAGAAGAGGCTGTCAGATCCCCTGGGACTGGAGTTACGGACAGTTATTAGCTGCCATGTGGGTGCTGGGATTCGAACCCGGGTCTTCTGCAAGAACAACCAGTGTTCTTAACCGCTGAGCCAGCTCTCCAACCCTCCCCGCCCCTTTTTTTTAAGGTAGGGTTTCACTATTTAGAACTTGAGATCTTCCTGCCTCAGCCTCTGCCTCCTGAGTACTGAGTTTACAGGTGTGTATCACCACACTGAGCTGAATCACAACCCATTCTTTTTTGTGTGTATGCTACTGGTGGTGATTAAATCCAGAGCCTCAAGCAGGCTCTATCAACTGAGCTTGATCCCTGGCCACCTTAGGACCTTGAGAGATTTAAATTCCTCTTGAGACCAGTGAGATGGCTCAGTGGGTGAAGGCAAGTGCCACTAAGCCGAACCACCTAAGTTCCCTCCCTGGGACCTAAAAATGGAAGGAGAGAACTGATTTTCCCAAGTTGTCCTCTGACCTCCACACAGATGCCACATGAACGTACACAAAAATAATAAATGTAATGAAGATTTATAAGCCCTTCTCTACTCCCTTCTAGGCTCCCAATGTGGCTCAGGAGCTGAGTGGGGGCTGCCATGGCTTCTCCCATAAATTCATGCACTGGCAGGAGGAATTGCTACTGGGAGGCGTGGCCAGAGACCTCCAAGGACAGCTCCTGAAGTAGGACTTCCCCGGGACTATACACTGCAATGCCAAGCAGCTTTGGAAAAAATACCCCATGTACCTACACTGTGTGTCTAAGCCAGCTCTGACTCCTTTTCCTGTACCTTGGTCCAGGGCAGAGGCCTTGCAGAGTACCTTCCTGCTGATGAGTCCCCGTCAGCTGTATGAGCACTTCCGGGGTGACTACCAGACACATGACATTGGCTGGAGTGAGGAGCAGGCCAGCACAGTGCTGCAGGCCTGGCAGCGGCGTTTCGTGCAGGTCAGTGTGGGCAAGGACAAAGAAGAGCACTCTGAGGCCACTCCTTTCTCCTGTGCCCTCAGATCTACCCTGTCTCTCCAGCTAGCCCAGGAGGCCTTGCCTGCCAATGCATCTCAGCAGATATATGCCTTCTCCTCCACCACCCTGGATGACATCCTACAGGCATTCTCTGAAGTCAGCACCTCCCGTGTGGTAGGAGGCTATCTACTCATGGTGGGTCCTGACCTTAACAACTTCTCTCTCACCTCTGCTGAGTATCTACCCTGGAAGTCCCTGTCTGAGATTGTATCCTCTCTCCCCACAGCTGGCCTATGCTTGTGTAACAATGCTACGGTGGGACTGTGCCCAGTCCCAGGGTGCCGTGGGTCTTGCTGGGGTATTGCTGGTGGCCCTGGCTGTGGCCTCGGGCCTTGGGCTCTGTGCCCTGCTCGGCATCACTTTCAATGCTGCTACTACTCAGGTATACCAGGATAGTACGGCAGCCTTGGGGACCATCTCCAAGCTGTACAGTCTCTCCAGCTGCCCATCCCTCTGCTCCTCCAGGTGCTGCCCTTCTTGGCTCTGGGCATTGGCGTGGATGACATATTCCTGCTGGCACATGCCTTTATAAAGGCCCCACCTGACACCCCTCTCCAGGTTAGGCCCCATCCTCCAGCCTGGGCCCATCTGAAGTTCAGTAGAGTGATTAGGAACCTTAGTTTGAGGGGCTGGAGAGATGCCTCAGCGGTTAAGAACACTGGTTGTTCTTGCAGAAGACCCGGGTTCAAATTCCAGCACCCACATAGCAGCTAAAGCTGTCCATAACTCCAGTTCCAGGGCATCTGATGGCCTCTTCTGTCCTCTGAGGGCATTGCATGACACGGGTACACTTACCTGCATGCAGGCAATATACTCACACACGTGAAATAAAATTTACAAAAACAAAAAACAAAAACTTAATTTGAGTGACCTTGAGCTGATTGGCTCATTAACTTCTTTGTGCATTGGTCTCCCCATATATAAGTGGGGGTGATGATAGTGCTTGTGTCCTAAGAGTTAATGACATAATTCAGGATGAGCACTTAGAACAGCACATGCCCATTTGTGGTACCCAATAAATATTGACTGCTGTGGTACTTGTAGAGTAGCTATGCTCCACTTTTTCTATCCTAAGGTTTTTTGTTTGTTTGTTTTTTTGGTCTTTTTGAGACAGGTTCTCCCTGTAGCCCCAGCTGTCCTGGAACTCACTCTGTAGACCAGGCTAGCCTTGAACTCACAGAGATCCACCTGCCTCTGCCTCCCGAGTGCTGGGATTAAAGGCGTGTGCCACCACGCCCAGCATATCCCAAGTTTTAATTATTTATTTTTATTTTATGTGTATGAGTGTTTTGCCTACATGTATGTGCACTGTGTTGTGCAGTGCCTGCAGAGACCAGAAGAGGGTGTTTGATCCCCTGAAACTGGAGTTATGGATGGCTATTAGCCACCATATAGGTGCTAGGAACCAAACCTGCATCCTCTGCAAAAGCAGCCAGTGCTGAGCCTCCCCTTCGCTCTGCCTTTAAGTCCTCCTCCCTTGTGACCTAAGGGTATGTCCCTGCTCTGTCCTGGCAGGAGCGCATGGGTGAGTGTTTGAGGCGCACAGGCACCAGTGTCACACTCACGTCCATCAACAACATGGTTGCCTTCTTCATGGCTGCCCTAGTTCCCATCCCTGCGCTGCGGGCCTTCTCTCTGCAGGTGAGACTTCATGAGAGGCAGATGGGGGTGGACATGGAGCTAGGAGCATGCTTCATTCAGCCTTTGTCCCCTCCTGTCTATCCTCCAGGCAGCCATAGTGGTTGGCTGCAACTTTGCAGCCGTGATGCTTGTCTTTCCGGCCGTCCTTAGCCTGGACCTGTGCCGGCGCCACAGCCGACGCCTTGATGTGCTCTGCTGCTTCTCTAGGTGCTGTCCCTGCATGCCCACCAGTTTCCACCCTTAGCCTCACCCTAGCCTGTCCCCTCCCTGACATTTCAAGGTAACAACCCCCATCCCTTCTCTCTGACTCTTTCAGCCCCTGCTCTGCTCGAGTGATTCAGATTCTGCCCCAGGAGCTGGAGGACAGGACAGTACCAGTGGGCATTGCCCACCTAACCACCACAGTACAAGCTTTTGCCCACTGTGAAGCCAGCAGCCAGCATGTGGTCACCATTCTACCTCCCCAAACCCACCTGGTGTCCCCACCTTCTGACCCACTAGGCTCTGAACTCTACAGTCCTGGAGGATCCACACGGGACCTTCTAGGTCAAGAAGGGGCAAGGCAAAAGGCAGCCTGTGAGTCCCTACTCTGCACCCACTGGAATCTTGCCCATTTTGCCCGTTATCAGTTTGCACCCTTGCTGCTCCAGACACAAGCCAAGGTAAGTCTGAGTGTGGCAGCCTGGAGGCTAAGTATCTATGGCCTCCAAGAGGGCAGAGGGGCCTAAACTACCACCTGAGGGCTGGAGGACAACCCCAGACCTCCTGTTTAGTTGCCATTTCCCACAGGCCCTGGTGTTGGTGTTCTTTGGGGCGCTTTTGGGCCTGAGCCTCTACGGAGCCACCTTGGTACAAGATGGGCTGGCCCTGACAGATGTGGTGCCTCGGGGCACCAAAGAACATGCCTTCCTGAGCGCCCAGCTCAGGTACTTCTCCCTGTATGAGGTGGCCCTGGTGACCCAAGGTGGCTTTGACTACACCCACTCCCAACGTGCCCTCTTTGATCTGCACCAGCGTTTCAGTTCCCTCAAGGCTGTGCTGCCCCCACCTGCCACCCAGGCGCCTCGTACCTGGCTGCACTATTACCGTAACTGGCTACAAGGTAAGAGGCTGAGTTCACCAGATAGGGATGCTGCAGAGAGAAGCCATCAGAACTATAGTCTGATTTTGTCCTATCCTGTGCACCCTTAGGTATCCAGGCAGCATTTGACCAGGATTGGGCCTCTGGGCGCATTACCCACCACTCTTACCGCAATGGCTCTGAGGATGGTGCCCTGGCCTACAAACTGCTCATCCAAACCGGGAATACCCAGGAGCCTCTGGATTTCAGCCAGGTAAGGAGAGGGCTAAATGGTTCGGGCACAGATGAGCTCTAGACCTTATGGCCCAGGCCTTCAGCCCTCTGTCTCCACAGCTGACCACAAGGAAACTGGTGGACAAGGAGGGACTGATCCCACCAGAGCTCTTCTACATGGGGCTAACTGTGTGGGTGAGCAGTGACCCCCTGGGCCTAGCAGCCTCTCAGGCCAACTTCTACCCTCCACCTCCTGAATGGCTGCACGACAAATACGATACCACCGGGGAGAACCTCCGCAGTGAGTCTTGAGGGAGCTCGCCTAGAATCTGGCCCTCAGGTCAGACAGGCCCTGACCCTACAGCCCTTCACATTGCTGCATTCCCACCATCACCCTGCCTTTGCTACTCTCTCCTCCCCTCCACAGTCCCAGCAGCCCAGCCCCTGGAGTTTGCCCAGTTCCCCTTCCTGCTGCATGGTCTCCAGAAGACAGCAGACTTTGTAGAAGCCATCGAAGGGGCCCGGGCAGCATGCACAGAGGCAGGCCAGGCAGGGGTGCGTGCCTACCCCAGTGGCTCCCCTTTCCTCTTCTGGGAACAGTATCTGGGTCTGCGGCGCTGCTTCCTGTTGGCTGTCTGCATCTTGCTGGTATGCACCTTCCTCGTCTGTGCTCTGTTGCTACTCCATCCATGGACAGCTGGCCTCATAGTGAGTGGGTGCAAGGGAGGGGTGGGTGGAACCCTACTCATGGTCCAGCCTAACACTCCTGCCAGGAGCCCTGGGTAAGCCCTGCCTCCCCCAGGTGCTGGTCCTGGCGATGATGACCATGGAGCTTTTCGGTATCATGGGATTCCTGGGCATCAAACTGAGTGCCATTCCGGTGGTGATCCTTGTGGCCTCTATAGGCATTGGTGTTGAATTTACAGTTCACGTGGCTCTGGTAAGCATAGGCACTGGAAGGTACAGGTCAGCTGATCCTATTGGAGTCAAAGGCGGGGAATCACCACAGTTTTGAGGCCAGCCTGGTCTACATACTGAGTTGCAAGACACTATCTAAAACATACAAATGAATTAATAATAAAACAAGCAAACAAAAACCAATTTATAGCTGGGGATGGTAGCACACACCTTTAATCCCAGGAGGTAGAGGCACTCAGGAGGTAGAGGCAGGCGGATCTCTGAGAGTTCAAGGCCAGCCTGGTCTATATAGAATGTTCTAGATCAGCTGGAGCTCGAGGAAGAACCTGTCTCAAAAAAATAAAAATAAAACAATATATGATCAGTGGTATACCTGGGCGCTGGAGGCAAGGGCAAGATGCGTTCATTCTCAGATGTGTAGTAAATTAGAGGCCAACCTGGGTTATGTAGCAAGCTTGTGGCCAGCATAGGCCACATCAGAGCCTGTCTCAAAAAGAAATATACATTTTTTTTTTTTTTTAGATTTTTTTTTTTTTTGGTCCTTTTGAGACAGGGTCTCCCTGTAGCCCCAGCTGTCCTGGAACTCACTATGTAGACCAGGCTGGCCTTGAATTTACAGAAATCCGCCTGCCTGTTTCCCAAGTGCTGGGATTAAAGGCATGCACCACCACGCCTGGCCTTTTTTTAGAATTAAAAAAAAAATATTTTATTATTTTTTTAATATTTTATTTATTTATTTTTATTGGTCTTTTTGAGACAGGGTCTCCCTGTAGCCCCAGCTGTCCTGGAACTCACTATGTAGACCAGGCTGGCCTTGAATTTACAGAGATCCGCCTGCCTGTTTCCCAAGTGCTGGGATTAAATGCGTGCGCCACCACGCCCAGTTTATTTTTATTTTTTATGTGTATTTGTGTATTGCCTGCATGTATGTGAGTGCACCTGTGTCGTGCAATGCCTCGGAGGTCAGAAGAGGGTGTCAGATTCCCCTGGAACTGGAGTTACAGACAGTTGTTAGCTGCCATGTGGGTTCTGGGATTCAAACCCGGGTCTTCTGCAAGAACAACCAGTGTTCTTAATCACTGAGCTGTCTCTCCAGGCTCCGAAACATACATTTCTTAAAGAAAATAAAAAGGAGCCAGACATGGTGGCACGTGCCTTTAATCCCAGCACTTGGGAGGCACAAGCAGGCAGATCTTTGAGTTTGAGGCCTGCCTGGTCTACACAGCCAGTTCCAGGCCAGTTGGGGCTACAGAGAGACCCTGTCTCAAAAAGACAGAAAGAAAAGGAGAGAAAAAGACTGAAGGTATAGCTCAGTGGTCAAATGCTTGCCTGACAGGGCAACGCTCAGGTTAGAAACTCCACAGCACTGAGAAAAAAAAGCCTGTGTGCAGAACAGTAAAAAGAATTTTTTTTTTTTTTGAGACAGGGTCTCCCTGTAGCCCCAGCTGGCCTGGAATTCACAGAGATCTGCCTGCCTCTGCCTCCGGAGTGCTGGGATTAAAGGCATGCACCACCATGCCCAGCTCAGTACAAAGAATCTTAAATGCCATCCTGAGGACTTATCACCCTGTGTCCATCCTTCTGGGCTAGAATTAGCACATTTTTTTTTTATTACTGTGTTTGGGGGCAGGCTTAGAAGAAAACTTCTTACTTTACACTATGTGGATCCCAGGGATCAAACCCAGGTCATCGGGCTTGGCAGCAAGCACCTTATTACCCACTGAGCCATCTTGCCAGTCCTATGCACACTTTCTCTAGCCAGGTCAGAAGTATTTTGCTTGGCAAACCATATAATCTTATCATCATAGCACAGAGGCCACCATAGGGGGCAATGCATTACTGAGTGAGTGTGGCACTTTCAGCAAAACAACATTGACACTTACCTGGGCACTTCTCTGTGTGGCCAGACACATCTCTAGGATTACCAAAATGGACCCAACAATGTTTCTAGACCATTCCCCTGAACTCGATTCACCTGGCCTTCTGTGGGGCAATGCACGGGTAAATCTGGAGTGGATGAATAGCAGCTAGGCACATGGTGAGCTAGCCATGGTTGGCAGAGGAGGAACTTCAGGACTGCTGTCTCCCCAGGGCTTCCTGACCACCCAAGGTAGCCGGAACCTGCGTGCTGCTCAGGCTCTAGAGCACACATTTGCCCCGGTGACTGATGGGGCCGTCTCCACGTTGCTGGGTCTGCTCATGCTTGCTGGTTCTAATTTTGACTTCATCATAAGGTAGGGGAGGGCTTGAGAGGAGGCAGGGACTGCCTGTACTGGCCTTGGGCCTCCCACTGACTCTCTCTTCCTCCCAGGTACTTCTTCATGATTCTGACTGTGCTCACGCTCTTGGGCCTCCTCCATGGACTCGTGCTGCTGCCTGTGCTGCTGTCCATCCTGGGCCCCCCACCACAGGTGACCACACCCTTTCTCTGCTCCTAACCCTGAGGGACAGCCCTCAGTGGCCAGCAGAAGGCTAAGCTCACAAGGGCCCTCCTAAAGGTTGCCATTTGCTGAAAGTGGCAGCTTCCTCCTTTCCCCAGATACCCTGTTCCTGCCCCTCAACCTTTTTCATGGGACCCAGAGCAAGAGGGAGGGTTTGCCTCCAGCCTTGAAACCTTGTTCTGTGATCTCTGACAAGGACCTTAATTTACCAACGGTTCTGGTGATCACCAAGGAGGGGCTCACTGCGACTGATGTCTCCCCACAGGTGGTACAGACATATGAGGAGAGCTCACAGGTCCCGAGTTCTGCTGCTCCACAGGGAGGCGGGCTTAGGTGGGGCATGTCCTCCAACCTGCCCCAGCACTTTGCCAGAGTGACTACTTCCATGACTGTGGCCCTCCACCCACCCCCACTACCTGGAGCCTACGTCTACCCAGCCTCTGATGAGCCCACGTGGTCCCCAGCTGCCAACAACTCTACTGGCTCTGGTTCTAGGGGACTTGGTCCAGCCTCTGAATGAAAGCGTAGCTGAAGCACAGAGACTGCTTAAGACATACAAGTCACTGGGAAGAAATGGGTGCCGTATGGAATGTAGGGTGAACCCCTGGAGGGCTCTGCTACCGTTGTCTGCATCCCCTCTCCCTGACTCAGCCACCACAGACCTACACAGAATAGCTGGTCCTTGGGGGAGCATCCTAGCACATGGGGGCCCATGTGTGCCCATGTCTGTGTCCCAGTGCGGGTGGAAGATGGCATACTGGCTGCAGTTCAGCTCTGTCCCCTTCTGCCCCACACTGCCACCTACCAGCAAACCAAGCCCGAGGGTCCTCAGCACATTTTCCCTGTCCTGGCCCTTCTGGGCCTTGTATACCCTTGCCCTCTTCCTACCATATAAATTATTTATATGAAGATGTTTATTTTTGTATATATAGAGGTTAGCTCTGCAGAAAGTTTTATTTTTAAAGAGTCAAATATATTCTATATGAACTCGTCTCAAATGATTATGGTGCTTTTCCTTACAGAGCTAGTAAGGGTTAACTGTCAGAGGTGACTTTGGGGTACCAGGGCCTAGAGTCCTGGGGCTTGTCTAGTTATGACTGGGAAAGACTTCAGATGCTGATTTTTTTGTTAAAATACTTGGCAATAGGGTTCATATTAAGTGCTTAGTAATACAAATGAAGCAGTATTTGAGGTGTCAGTGTGGCATTTCAGAGCCATCCTATTCCAGCCCTGCCCCTCCAGACTTCTCTCAGCTTCCTGCTCCATCAACCTGTGGGGAGGGGCAAAGCCAGGCAACAGGTAGACATGGCAAGATGGAAGATCAGAAAGGTGGCCATCTGAAGTAACAGATGGGCCTGGGGAGATTCTCTAGGAGGTATGGGACTGAGGGGAAGGAGCCTGGACCCAGAGCGACCTCCTAGGCAGAACAGCTACAGACTTGTGTAAGCTCAGCAACTGGGAGGCATGAAGTGTCTGTGGCCAGTAAACCAGGGAGAAGTTCAAGAATGTGGACGCTAGCAGTTGGTGAAAGCACTGATTTTAGCTGCTGGTGTTGGAAGGTTGGACACATCCTCCGGCTATAGTTCAGGTCCTCACCCAAGGGGAAAGGGAGGGCTTTTCTTGTCCCTCTCCTTATCCTTATCCCTAGACTGATGAGCGCATACTCTCTGGATTCCAACCACCTACTCACCAAGAATGATCCTACCCAAGAACACTGCCTTTCTCACAATCAGAAAATGATTGTCACCAAACATACACACAAAGCACATTGCAACTGAATCAACACTAAAATGCCTTAAAGGAATGATGTCAGTCCGATGTACATAGTGAGTTCCAGGTCAGCCAGGGCTACATAGTGAGACCTTGTCTCAAAAAACAACAAAAAAGCTAGGCATGGTGGCCAGCACAGGAAAGGCTGAGGCAGGTGGATCTCTGTGAGTTCAAGGCCAGCCTGGTCTACATAGTGAGTTCCAGGCTAACTGGGGCTACAGGGACACCCTGTCTCAAAAAGACCAAAGAAAAAAAAATTATGTCAGGGCTGGAAAGATGTCTCAGTAGTTAAGCGCACTGGCTGCTCTCACAGAGGACCCAGGTTCAATTCCCAGCACCCATATAGTGGTTAACAACTGTCAGTAACTCCAGATCCAGGGGATCCAACAATCTCTTCTGTCATCTGCGCTGGTTCTTGCAGAGGACTAATGGCAGCTAACAGCCATTCATAACTCCAGTTTAAGGGGATCCCACGCCCTCTTTTGGCCTCTGCAGGCATTGCATGCATGTGGTGTACCTAAACATAAATACAGGCAAAACGTATATACACATAAAATACATATACACAGGCAAAACATAAAATAAAAACACATAAAAACAAAACTTTTTTTTGGTCTTTTTGAGGCAGGGTCTCCTTATAGCCCCTGATGGCCTGGAACTTGCTATGTAGACCAGGCTAGCCTGGAACTCACAGAGCTCCACCTGCCTCTGCCTCCCAAGTGCTGGGATTAAAGGCATGTGCCACCATACCCAACTAATACAAAACAAAATTAATTAAAAGAATGAAGATCGGCTGGGCATGGTAGCAACTTCCTGTAATCCCAGCACTTGAAAGTTGGTAGAATCAAGGTTGTCTTCTGCTACTTAAATAGTTGAGAGATGGCTCAGTGGTTAAGAGCACTTGAAGAGGACCCACGTTTGGTTCCCAGCACCCAGGACAGGTGCTTAACAATGGCCTATTATGTGTTCAATGCTTCTGACCTCTGTAGGTATCTGCACACAGATACACACACACATACACACAATAAAATCTTTTTTTTCTTTTTTGGTCTTTTTGAGACAGGGTCTCCCTGTAACCCCAGCTGTCCTGGAACTCACTAAGTAAACCAGGCTGGCCTTGAACTCACAGAAATCTGCCTGCCTCTGCCTCCCGAGTGCTGGGATTAAAGGCCTGCACCACCACATCCAGTCACATAATAAAATCTTTAAGCACATGCCTTTAATCCCAACACTGGGGAGGCAGAGGCAGGTGGATTTCTGAGATAGAAGCCAGCTTTGTCTACATAGTGAGTTCTAGGCCAGCTGGCATTACAAGGAGACCCTGTCTCAAAATAAATAATAAATAAAATCTTTTTTAAAGAGTTAAGGTCATCCTCAGCTATAAGAGATACTTTCTTAATATTGTATTACATTTTATTTTTGTGTGTATGTGGAGAGTATGCGCATGCTATGGAAAAGGTGTGGAGGTCAGAGTCAGCTCACTCCTTCCATATGGGTCCTGGGGATTAAACTCAGGTTGTCAGGAATGGCAGCAGATTCTTTTACCACTGAGCCATCTCACCAGCCCAGATGCTGTCTTTTAAAAAAAAAAAAAAAGAAAAAAAAAGTGCTGGCAAGATGGCTCAGCAAATAATGGTACTTGCTGTCCAATTATGAAAACCTGACATTCTGAGTTGATGAAGTTAGTAAGAGAAAACCACCTCCGGAATTATCCTCAGGGCCAGCCTAGGCTACATACTTACCACTGAGCAACTGTATAGTAACCAGCTGAGCAATCTGGGATCCTTAGCTAATATTTCTGATATTCAGCATGTATGTGAAATGGGAAGATCAGAAACTATATTGAAACTATATTCTTTGTTTGAGGTCAGGTCTTATTATATAGCCAAGTGTGCCTCAACTCTATATAGCCCAGGTTGGACTTAAACTCACAATTCTATCAGTGCTTCCTTACTGGGGTTATAGGCATGCCCCACCATGCCTCACATGCTCCTTTCTGTTCTCTTTGCGGTTCTGAGATCAAACCCAGAGCCTCATAGATGCTAGGTAGATGTTCTACCACTGAGCCACATTTCTACTTTCAGGATTTTGTTTCATGTTTTGTTTTTTTGTTTGTGTTTGTGACAAAGTTTCCTGTAGCCCAGTGACCCCAAACTCACTGCATAGTTCATGGCCCCAGAACTAAGATTTCAAAAAATTTCATGTTCCAATGTGGTCATGTTGATGAAGCTGTTAAAGTAACAGAACAAAGAAAGTCATAAATCAAGGCACTTTGAAAATACGTTGGTGAAACGTTAGGTAGGTGGGTTACAGCAAAGCTAGGGAAAAATTTTGCTATAGGCCTCAGATGCTGTCTGATGACATTCTTAGCCTTGGGTTGGTTGGAAACTAGGGGTCTGTACATGTCCAAGAATTTACCTACTGGACACAGAGACATTATGTCACATACAGAGAATGGCAATAAATGCTATTAAGGAGATAAAGATGCCCCAGTATAATTTGGCTCTGGACTTGTAACATTCCAACTGCTCCGTATCATTGATGATCTAATCAGTTCATCGGATTTGCTGAAGATTCAGTATAAGGTGCGGTTCATTTTAGGAACATTTGTTCATAGCTATGTTGAAATTTTCATCTGGATTGCATGATGGGAGAGCAATCCTGAAGCATAGAAGGATGTCACTGCTGTGATGGGAGCTGAACAGAACCAGTCAGAGTTGAAACATCCCAGGTATATTTGGTCTGGGAGCTGAACAGAACCAGTCAGAGTTGAAACACCCCAGGTGTATTTGGTCTGGGAGCTGAACAGAACCAGTAAGAGTTGAAACACCCCAGGTGTATTTGGTCTTGACCTCATACCACCTCAGGGGACAGCTCCCATACTGCTTGTGAAGTCATCCTACCCTGTTGACACAGACCACCACTGTGCCTTCTGGTTTCCATGGCTCCCCATCCCTGAGATCAAGCCTTTTCCAGTTCCACTAACACTAGCCTCTGCTCCAGACACAACCTCTAACACTCCACTCTCTGAACAAAACTGAATCACTACTATTGGTGTCATAATCATTCCCTTTACCCAGCCTCTTTCCCACCTCCCCTTGTCCTAACCCCAAATCATCCTTCAAGATGAACTGGATGCTGCCAAGTGTGGCACCTCACACCTCTAATCCCAGCATTTAGGAAGCTGAAGCAGGAGGGTTTCTCTGAGTTTGATAACAGCCCAGGTTATTGTGAGTCCCTGTTCTAAACAGATGAACTGATGACAGCTGCCAGTGGTGCAGTGTTTCCTGTATAACAGATGAATATATATTTCCTAAACATGTAATAGTATTGAATCTGTCACACTGCAATCCTAAGTACAAAGTTCATTTTGTATCCTACAGTCTTACTAAGTAAGTTCTATTGTTATCTTCATTTTATAGATAATGAAACTGAAGCAGAGAAAGAATAACTAGTAAGTGGGCACAGGGCTAGGACCCAAATCAATCATCCTGGTTCTACAAAGCACACAATCATCATGCCACTTATTTTGGGTTATTTTGGAGTGGGGTGCTAGGGATTGAACCCAGAGCCTCAGACAAAATCTATCACTAGCTACATCCCTACCCAATCTTTGTGCTGTTTCTTTCTCCCTTTCCCTTCCATGGTAGGAATCCCCCTTTAACAAAGGGAATCATGCTCTGCATGTTTTGTTTTGAGATAGAAACTCATGTAGCCCATACTCACTTTGAACTTACTATGTAGCCAAAGCTGGCCCTGAACTCCTGATCCTCCTGCCTCTTCCTTTCAATTGCTAGGGTTACAAGAACCAAGCACAGAAAATTATTTTCAGTGTTCACTTTTCAGTCTTGAACGATAACGCAAATAACTATCTCTAATCTAAAGGCAATATTTTTTTTTTTGGTCTTTTTGAGACAGGGTCTTCCTGTAGCTCCAGCTGGCCTACAACTTGTTATGTAGACTAGACTGGCTTCGAATTAGAGATCCCCCTGCCTCTGCCTCCTGGGTGCTGGGATTAAAGATGTGTGCCACCATACCCGACATCTGAGACAGAAATCTGAATTTATTCTCTTCTAAACTGTGGTCTACTGTTCCTATAGTTCTATCTACTGAGAGTGGGGGGCTGATGTGGAAGGATGACTTCAGCCCAAGAATTCCAGACCAGCCTGAGCAATGGAGCAAGACTCCCATCTCTTTAAAAGTTTAAAAAAATTCATTAGTGTATGTGTGAGGGTCAGAGGACAACTTTAAGGAGTCTGTTCTCTCCTTCCACCATAGGTTCTGGGAATTGAACTCGGATGGCCAAGGTTGTGAGGCAAGTGCTTTTACCCACTGAGCCTTCTTACCATCCCCATTTTAAAAGATGTGTTTTCACTGGGCGTGGTAAATCCCAGCACTTGGGAGGCACAGGCAGGAGGATCTCTGAGTTCACAGCTAGCCTGATCTACATAGTAAGTTACAGGCCAGCTGGAGCTACAGGGAGACCCTGTCTCAAAAGGACCAAAAAAAAAAAAAAAAAAAGATGTGGTTTCACTATGTACCCCAGGCTGCCCATGACAAGATCATCTTGCCTCAGTGCTAGAGATTATTTCAGGTAAGTGCCACCACACTTGGCAAGACCAAACTCTTTATGGAATAAAGTGACATTTACAGAGGAAAATTAAATCATTTAACGTTTACAGAATAGTGTTAATGTGACAGGGGCTGGGGAAACAACTGAATACTTTCTCCAGGGAGATTCAGGTCTACAGGAAGAAAAGACACAAGATAAATGAGGAGGTGGCAAGAGGAGTCTTCAAAACCCAGGTCTGATGGTGCAGGCCTATAATCCCAACTATTCCAGAAGTGACTGAGGCAAGGTCTGGGCCAGCTTGGTCTACATAGAATAGTCCAGGTCAGCCAGGGCTAAACAGTGAGACTGTTTCAAAAACAAACAAACAAACAAACAGAAAAGATGCAAGGGTGAAGGAAAATAGCTGTGGTATGTGCAAGGCACAACACCCAGGGCCAAAAAAAGTAATTCTGAGCTGGGCGTGGTGGCACAGGCCTTTAATCCCAGCACACGGGAGGCAGACGCAGGAGGATCTCTGTGAGTTCAAGACCAGCCTGGTCTACACAGTGAGTTCCAGGACAGCTGGGGCTACAGGGAGACAGTGTCTCAAAAGGACCTAAAAAAAAAAAAGTAATTCTGGAACTTCCAAAGTCACAGTCCAGAAAATATTGTTAAACATTTAGAAGCCTTAGGAACTTCCCCTGAAACATACTGTATTGTGTCCTGGAAAGCAGGCAGGATGTTGAAGGACTCAAGATAAATAGGCTCACAACTGTGCTGGGTTCAGTGTGGGAAGACTGAGGGGGCGCTGGCTGGAATTATGACAGAAAGACAATTAAAATGTAATGGGACGGGACTGGAGAGCTGGCTCCGCAGTTGAGAGAACTTACTACTCTTGCAGATGACCCAAGTTCGGTGGCTCACAACCGCCAGTAACTCCCGCTCCAACAGGGTCAGACGCCCTCATACACATAAAAACAAGTTGTTTTTTTTTAATGTGACAGGAATATAGGCTGTAGATCAAACCAACTCAAAACTACTAGAAGGTAGAAAGGGCATGAAGGAGGTGTAGAGGACTGAGGCAAGAATGAGACCCCGGTTTCTGACTCGTGGAAAAAAAACTATTTCCGGAACTTCCGGAGAGCGCTAAGCTCGATTTTGCACAAATTCTCAGATAAATGGGATATTCACGAGAGATCTCTGGGAAGCTTGTTTGTTGTGAAAGCGAACGAGCTGAAGAGACTGCATAGAGCATAGGAGCACATTAGTTCCCAGTGGCTGGATACGGTGCTGGAAACAAAGTGGACCCTCATTTCCCAGTTTCAGGGTCCCGCCATCGCCCGCACCAATACCAGGCACAGGCCCCGCCCTACATCCCAGGCCGGAAACACGCCAGCGGCGCCAAAGAGCTGTCCTTCCGGCAGCCAGCTAGCCAGGCATGCTGGGAGCTTCACTTCGAGCACAGAGCACTTCGGGAGCTGTAGTTTCGGGCATGCTCAAACTCCCTGCCAGTCCCGGAACTAGGTCACTAGAAAGGATGGTCCAGAAAGCAGTGGTGATCCCGAGGTAGGGTGCCCCTCCGGCGGTGGCACGGTGCGCCCCGGGCCGCAGCGCCTCTCCGCAGGGCGTGACACTTCCACGCCTCTACAATCTGCTCCACCTGCAGAGGAAGGCCGGTCACCACGCAGCCCGGAAGTGACCCCTCGCCCGGAAGACCCTGACCTGACCCTCGCCCCCACCCAGCGGAGTGCATTTGTGTCTGGTTACTCGCTTCCGCACCGGGATGAACGGCTCCTGCCTGTTCTGCTCTTCCAGGGCGCTCAGCTCCGTCGGGGCCAACAAGGCCAGTCTCAGCTCTCGAACTACTGGAGCCGCTACTTCGGCCACCGGCCGCTCCAGTACTGCCTGTGAAGGGCAGCCCTGAGCCCCGGCGGAGCGGGGTCTGTGCCCCGCCTCCCGCTTTGCCGAGTTCCTGCCTCCCGCGCCGCCTTTAGCGCCCTCGCCCTCCCCTAGGCCCCACTCACGGCGCCCACGCGCGCCCAGCTCCGGGCCGCCTGCACCAGCTCAGCCTCGTCCACGCAGAGCTTGTCGCTGCGCAGCAACGGCAGCAGCGCCGCGGCCGACAGCTCCAGGAAGCCGCGGGTGCGGAGCGCCTCCTACGGGCCGGCGTTTCGGTCAGGGGAAGGGAGCAGAATGGCATGTAGGGCTTAGAAGTATGAACGTGGGGAGCGGTATGTACCTGGCAGTGGGTCTCTATGAAGGCCATGCACTGCTCCTGTAGCGGCCCCAAGCCAAAGGTTACGGCCACCTGACAGCAGAAAGGAGGTCAGTCTAGAGACTGGAGAGGCCCCTATAACCCGGCCCAGCACACTGGGCGCCTGATTCCAGCCTTAATGGTGAAGACCGACAGGACCTACAGTGTCCCAGGACTTAGATCTGGGAATTAGCACATGGACACACAAGCAAATGCTGGAGGGAAACCATGTCAAGTCCTTCAAACCCCACCCTGAGACCTGGGCTTGGCCTTTGAAGTGCACTTTTCCCAGCTTAGAGCCATTCCCCACCCTTAATAGAATACCAACAAAGACTTCCTAGCCCTTTGAGTGTTTTTCCTACATGTGACCTTACTGATATACCCTGCATCCCACAGATTAGGCACAGAATTTATCTCATAGACACTGGGAGTACACCAGCCTTCTCATGTACCTACATTGTTCCATGGCAGATACAAGCGGTTAGGGCTTCTGTTAGATGGAGCCCAGCACCACATCCTGCAAACAAGACTCCTCCCAAGCCTATTTAGCAACACCCACCTGCAGGGCCTCACAAACCAACTCCACATCCAGCACCTTCACCACAAATTCCAGGCACAACTGGAGACAGAAATGAATGTGAGCTTTATGGTACTGTCGCTGCTTCCAGACCCCAGCCCTACCCAAGAGCAGTGAGTAGGCTTGGAGCAATGAATCACCCAGATTCCCAGCAGCAGAACCAGACCCGTCTTGACCTCCCAGACCTGGGGAGGGAAGGAAGGGTTGTTAGGACCTAAAACTTGGCAAGCCCGAAGACAATGAGGTTAGCAAAGCCAAACCAAGCAATGCACCTTCTATCTAGTACAGTTGTCTTGGATCAGATGATAACCATGTAAAAATTCTAGTATCTCCCTCAATATGCTATCTTCCTCCACTGGCCCCTCCCTTACTCAATGACACTTCTGTTTTTACCAGAAACTTAAATTTCATGTTGGAATCTCCCTCTCATCCTCACACCCAGAAAAGCACTGGGTTGGGCCAGCTCTTACTCCTCTCTCAGAGCCACACTTGGTGTTCCACTGCCAACTGCACCCTAGCAACACCCACCTGACTGTTGCACTAATCTGACTGGACTGGTGGGGCCTTTTCCATTCCTCTGTCCCTTTTCCTCTTAGCTTCCAAATCCCACTCTCTTGCTCAGAAACTTTCAGTGAATACATAAAAAGTCCAAGGGAGCAGGGGGTTGAGACAGGGTCTTGCTATGTAGGCTTAGCTAGCCTAGAATTCACTATTCACCAGGTTCACCTCAAACTTGGAATGATCCTCCTGCCTCTACCTACCGAATGCTGGGAATACAGATGTATACCACTATACCTGGCTAATGCTGAGAACTGAACCTAGGGCCCGCAGCATGCTATGCAGGTACTCTGCCACTGACTACTCTTGAGTCTGAAGTGCAGACTCTTGAAGACATTGCAGTAACCAGCCCCCTGGCACCCTCTCCAGTTCATCTTTCCCCTTTTTCTCGTACTCCCAATCCAACCATACCACATACCTAAGTAGCTCCTTTGGTGTCCCAGTGACTAGGCCATCCTCCCACTCGCCTGAACAAGATCCTGCTTGTTCATCCAGATCCAACACAGAAGTTTCCTTTTCCAGGAATCTCTCCCCACATCAGCAGTCTGCCCTCATCTATCCCACCTAAACCACTACTTTAAGGGTTTTTTTGGTTGGTTGGTTTTTTTATTGTTTTTGAGACAGGGTCTCCCTATAGCTTCAGCTGGCCTGGAACTCGCTAAATAGACCAGGCTGGACTCTATCTCATAGAGAGCTCCCTGTGTCTGCCTCCTGAGTGCTGAGATTAAAGGTATGCACTACCATGCCTGCTTGAGACAAAGTCTCACTGTGTAGTCAGGGCTAGCTTGAATTGCCTAGGTAGTTCAGACAGGCCTTAAATTTGCCATCCTCTTTCCTCAGTCTTCACAGTATTGAAATACAAGCACCATGCCCTTTATGTGTTGTTTTCATGTGTCTGTCTCCACTCAACAGGTCAAGGCAGGTTCTCCTTGGACCTAGAGCACCAGCCATCAACACCCCAAATGTTTACCCAGTACACACTGAGCATGTGCAGATCCTGTGCACACAGGTACACATACATATTCTGAGTACACAGCTATCCATACTTCTCCATTTCCTCCAGGACAGACTAAAGAGAAGTATGAACTGAAGTAAGGGAAACAAGATGGCCAGGCATAAATACCCACCTCTCGAAGTTCCTCCAGCCCATATTCCACAGCTGCTGTCAGCACCTCCAGCACCTGCACAGTGGGTGGTTGAAGGAGCAAAAGGGAGTTTCCCCAGCCCTTCCACCCACAGCATGGTGGGCAGAGTCCTGCCTCTTACATCCCCCTCTCCCACCCAGACCCCTGCTTGGTGGTCTCACAGAGTGGCGGTGCAGCTTGACACTGTTGGTATACAGGAACTCCAGCACTGCCAGGAAGGCCTCAGCTGGCACAGTGCTTAGCACCACGGGACTAGTTACCCCAGGGCCCGGCTCTGTGCCCAGAAGTCTCTGGAAGAATTTGCATCTACAGGCCAACAAGCACCGGTGGGCAAATACCTCTTGCTGTTCTTGACCAACCACAAAGCGAACATCACTGTGGAAGAGAGGGCAGAGAGCTGAGAGAAGAGTCCCAAACCTAGGCTGCACTTTGGGCTTTGCCTTTGCCCACACTGGCTTTAGTTTCCTTATTTGTAAGGTAAAGGGCAGGGCATAGCATTCCGATAGGTCTGAGATACAGGCTTGAGTTCTAGTTCTAGTTCCACCCTGTAGTACCATAGACAAGTGACTTTGTATCTTTGAATCTCGGGTTTCTCAGCCACAATCTCAGGTCTCAGAGGAGGAGATGACTGTGCTTGGTCAATGAGGGGAACACCAGGGCTCATCTAAGCAAGATTGGTCTCGCCACAGTCTGAATCTTGGGGGAAGGGAAGCTTCTCTCCTTCCCCTAGAAGCTGATTCAGGGCTTTTCACCCTTCCTCCTGTAGGAGGGTGTGAGGATGTGGGGTACAGAGTGCATTGACTGTAGACATGGCAGTGATACACCATCGAGGCCAAACCACATTTTCCATCTTCATGATAACTTCTGGCCCAGCCTCTGGGCATCTACACAAGGTAGAGAGAGGGGGTAGGAGGCAGGAGAAAACACTTCAGCTCCAGGGACCTCCTACTCCCAGGCCCAAGGCCTGAGGTTCCCATTATCCAGGAGAGACTAACACCCTGTCCTCAAAAGGATAATTATGGTAGTCACCAGCCCTTGGGTGCAGACAGTGGGAACTGAAAGCTGCATTTGTACTTTCATGGCTAGCCCTTCTCCCTGTAAACTCTATTCCTGGTTTCAGACAGCACTGCCATCTTGAGTAAGGAGTGGGCAGCCAGCAGCCTCCAACTACTTCCTGTCTGGGTCTCTAGCGCAATCCTTTGAGCTTTGTTCCTCTTTATGAATCTGAGAGTCGTCTGCTCCTCTGCCTCTTCAAGGAGCAAAGCCTTAGCACGCAGCTGTACGTCCATGGGAAGGAGTCAAATTACAGCCCACATGGCAGGACCCAGGGGACTCCTTTCTCCATCCAGAGAAAGAAGGGCTTTTCCTAAGCTCACAGCTGCCCTTGGCTCTCTCCCACAGCCCCCACCTCTGGCTCTCAGGATATCATGGGCACAGGACAGTAGCCATTCTCTATATTTGACTTGCTCACAGAGGAGGAAGGCCAAGTCTTCATTCCCAGCCTGTTCACCCAGGGCTTCCTCAAAGTCATGGGCCCAAGGGAGTCAGCTAGGGAAAACCCACCAAGGGGGCCCACTACCTCACCTGTACCAGGGGTTGTTGACAAGGCTTCTGAGTGCTGTGGAAAAGGGTGCAGCCTGCCCCTGAACAACCAGTCCCGGAGTCACCATAAGCGGGGTGAGGAGAAACAGTGGTAGTGGCCCAGGAAGCCTGCTGCTGTGGTTAGTCTGTAGGAGGCCTAACTAGGCCCAGAGAGGCCAGCGCAGCCTGCGGGAGGTACAGGAGCTCTGGAGGCCTGTTTGCTAAGACTTAAGGGAAAAAGAGGCCCAGGTTCCTGAAGAAGGCATCACACTAGTAGGAAAGGCAGGAGGCTCCGAAAAGGGAGACAGACAGGGAACCCAGAGAAGCTGAGGCTGGAGAGGCCTGTGGTCCCCGGAGAAGCTGCTGGTGGATGAGGCCCAGACTGGGAGCCTGCCCAGGAAGCCGCTGGGTGGGAAGCCTGCGAGTTTCCATGGAAACTGCAGTGAGCCTGTGGAAGCCCCACCCACCTCCCTTCCCTATAGGCCCAGGAAAGAACTTCCGCTGGTAAATGGACCATCAAAAGTGTCTGAGGGTCTTTGGGCTGACCCTTGCCTACACTGGGTTCAGAGTTCAAGGCCTCTACTTTCTTAATTCCGCCCTACATCAGGACTACCTGGATAGCTAGGCCTGAGACATCTCCTCATCAGGGAAAATTCCCAAGTGTGATTTTCAGCATCCAGATTCAGCTTGTCTGGGAGGAGGTAGTCCCATGCCTCCAGAGGGAATTGGGAGAGAGCTGTCAGCTCTGACAGAAGCAACACAGCTTCTGGTATCCCTGAGAAGCAGTTTCTGCAGGGAAGGGTATTAGGTACTGGGGCACACCAGAGGTCTTGCTAGAGACAAACCCCACAGCTTTTGAAGTCAAGAGGCTGGACTTGGATTCACGATTGAGTCATGGTTGTCAGGCCTGGAACCTTCCCCCATGAGCCAATGGGCCTCCCCTCCCCAGCACTCAGCTCTTAACTAAGGAAGTCATCCAAGCCCCACCCTGTCTCTGCCCTGGAGCGGAAATGTTTGTCCTTGTTGAGGCTGATGGAGAGACAGAACAGTGACTGTGCTCCTTCCTGTGTGCCAAGACACTGGATTCCTGAGAAGCCACCCCCACAGCCTCGAGATCTCCTGTGACTTGTTCACAAGCAGCCTAAGAAATGGACAGTGTTTCAGAAGCTCTGGGATAAACACCTTTCTGACCAGAGTGCCTCTCTCCATCTGCCCCCTTGATCGTTCTGTGACAGTAGTATGTGCTGGACTCCAATCTTCTGTGGGCCCTCTCCTCCAGAACTTTGGGTACTCCCACCTTCAGCAGATGCTCATGGTAGGCAATAACACTCAGGTTATTCCAGAGCTTGACTAGAGAAAGGAACTCTGGGAGGAAGAGATGTGCTTGCCACAGCAGCCCCATGGTAACTGTACAACACAACCCTTCCCCACCCACCTGCCTGTCAGGTCAGCTCAGTGAGGACTGCGGAGCCAGAACAGGAAGCCAAAGGCTGCAGGTGACTCAGGTGCCTGAGGGAGTTTTGGGAAGAGGGGAGGGCAACCATCCCAGAAATTATTCTGGAGGATCTAGAGGCCTAAAGCAGAAGATGGAAGGAGCTGGTCTCCAGATCCAGCCTGTGGTGGATAAGTCATACCTTATCTAGAGCAGGGAAGATGATCAGGTTCCATACTCCCAAGGCTAGAGAGGTCTGTGGGGGTGAGGGAGTTGGGTCTATCCCTCCTGGCTACCGGCTGAAGGCACCACTTCTGCCTGGCTTCATCTCCCCATTCTGCCGAAGTCGAGTGGAAGGGGTAAAAAGGAAGTGAACTTGGTGGAGCTCACCTGGCCAGCCTCCACAGTGACCAGTGAAAAGTGGAATTCAGGGCAGCATAAATCCCAGGATCAAAGCCTGAGCAACATCCCTTCCCCTGCTTATATCTCTAACAGTGCTTAACCTCTAAGTACCTAGGAGCCCACACAGCCCCAATTTGATCTACTTGTCCCAAATATACAGGTAAGGGATATGGGGTACCTGGGCATGGTGGTGTATGCTGTAGTCTGCTAGGGAGGCAGAGGCAGGAAGATCACTTGAGACTAGAAGTTTAAGGTTAGCCTGGACAAAACCCAAGCCTCAAAAATAACTAAGGCCGAGCTGGCAATGCACATCTTTAATCCCAACACTTGGGAGACAGAGGCAGGTGGATCTCTGTGAAATCAGGGCCAGCCTGGTCTACATAGCGAGTTCAGGCTAGCTGGGGCTACAGAAAGACCCTGTCTCAAAAACACCAAAAAAATAGAGATTGGGTGGTATAGGGAGATGACCACTGAAGGTCATTCTAAGTGTGGCTCTCCTAGCAGGCAGGTCCATGGCTGGCAAGACTCTGCCCACTGAACACCAGGAAGAGGAGACTACCAAAGACCTATCGTCGAAACTACCAGCAGTGAGGCCTGGAGGTCACCTGCCCAGCACTCATGAGGCCCGCCCTACAGGTCTGGGTCCAGCCTCCCGTCGGGGCTCTGTGTTGGGTCTAGCCCGGTCCTTTTCACGTTGCAACTCACTAGCTGGACCGCTAGTGGGTCCTGGAGGTCGAAGACCATCCCTGGGCCCAATGCCCCATCTAGGTTCACGGGTCAGCTTTTCTGGGCTGCCCCTGGTGCCTGCCGGTCAAATGGCACCCTCATACCGCACAGAGCCAGCACCAGGGGAGCGCTGGGAGGCTGCAAGTGCACAGCGTGCCCTGGAGGCAGCACTGGATGCAAGGCTGTCCAATGTGTGCTACTCGGGTACTGAGGCAGGAAGACTGACATGGGAGCTGTGTGAACAGATACGCATGTGCCTGCATGAGCTCTGTCTACCGCGCTACAAGCTGGTGTGCAGTGTGGTACTGGGGCCACGCATGGGCCAGGGTGTGCACGTGGTCAGCCGTGCTCTCTGGGATGCTGCGCATGATGGGCTGGCCTCTGCCACCTTCACCAATGCCTCATTGTTTGCGGTAGCTACTGTCCATGGGCTCTACTGGGAATGAGAAGGACTTCAAATTCTGCAAAAATGGTTTATTATTCCCAGGAGGAGGCCCCCTGGGGCTCACATCTCAATAAATAAATGTGTGTTAATAAATAAAAGTGGTCCATAAATAATGCCCCCTAGCTGGGGGCTAAGGCTCAGGCTTATTTCAGGAAGGGGAGAGAGGGGGGGTAAGGAAACAGGGAGGGCAGGCCATCCCCAACTGTAGTAAAGCTGGTCCCTGATTCCCTGGGGGATTCAGCCTGGAGCCCCCAGTGAGGCACCAAAGGGACAGGGAGGGCCACAAAAGCAAGGGCCTTTCAGGCACAGGCCTTGACTTGAGGGCTAGGATCACAGCCTGCTCTGCAGGTTGGAACCTAAGCAGGACTTTGGTCCCTGAGCAGGCGCAGAGCATAGCGCAGTCTCTGCCGCAGGTCTGGGGAGCAGCCCAGCTGCTGGAGGTGGGAAGCGAGGTAAGTACAAGCACTGCGATTTCTCGCCACAAAAGTCACAAGGAGAGGCTCCCAGCCACTGAGTATCAGCTTCGTGTGATCCCCATAGAAGTTCACCTGTATACAGGAAGATGACACTGATCAGGGCCTGGGCATCAGACCCAATTTCCTTCCCAGCACCCTAGGCTGGGTGTGAGTCTTCCCTCCAACCCAGGATGAGCTCTTACCTGGACAGTGCCATCACTAAATAACATGAGTAGGGCCTGATCAGTCTTGACCCACTGCAGCAGCAAGGGTGGAGCAGGCACCTCTACCTCTTCTACACTGGGCAGATCTCCACCCTGGGAAACAGGCAGGGCAGGTTAGTGGCATGAGCTAGGTTTCTCCCTATTGATGCCTCTTCCCTTATAGATCCAGCCTCTATCTTTGAGCCACTCCTCCACCCCACCCCCAACTGCCAACAATGGGGAATCAGCAGGAATCAGGATGCATTAGTCTCTAAAGTGCCCCACTCCAGCCCACACACCTTCATGAGGTGCTGCTCCATGTAGGAGGCAAAATACCGCAGGATGCCCAGCTGAGGCTGCAAAGCATGAGGTACAGCACCCACAGAGAAAGAGAAGTGCTTTGTGCTGGTGGGGTTGTAGTGCACAGTCCTGGAAGTGGAATGCAGAGATCAGAAGGAGCCCTGCTTCAACACTCTCCCCCCACTAGGTTTAAACCCCAGGCCCCAGTTCATAAGTTCAGAAACACATACCAAGGCTGAACCTTACTGGGTACAACAGCCTAAATACAAAGTGCCCCACTAAATAGCACTTACTTTCTGTTGGCTGATAGGGCCATGTGTGTACCATCGTTGAAAAGCACAGCTACACGGCGGCTAGATAGTTGATACCCAAAGCCAAACTTGTTGGAGTAGTCAACCCACTTGCTGACCCACACCAGAGGCTCTGGCTGTGCCAAAGGAGCTGGGTTCTGTTCCGCTGTTAACAGGAAAGGAGGGAGTGAACATTTTCCCCAGGTCTTTAGGCCAAAGAACTCACCCAAACCATCCACATGTACCAGACCCCAGCCCTACCTGGAGGCATGAAGGCTACACAGTTTCTCAGTGCACAAAGGGCAGACTCCACCACTGTGGCCACCGTCAGACCTTCTTCAAACCCTGAAGGTAACAAGGCACTGACATTTAGGCAGTAGCCTCCCTGGACTCAGGCCACGTCCCTCTGCCAACTACTTCCCTTTGGCCCCTGGTCTCCACCCCAGCAACCTCTAGCACCTCTCATCTTCTGGCTTCTCACCATCTCCACTGCTCGCTAGTGTCCCACGGGGTGAGCTGTCCTCAGCAGCTGTCTCTACCAAGCTGACACGGGCCAGACCTGAAGCTGCTGGAGCCTAGACAGTTGGGCAGAGAGGGGAGTAAGAATCCAAATCCTTGAAAGTCCATGGCCCAGTCTTACCCTGGCTCCCAGGGCACCCCAGGTCAGCCCCAGCATCCTAATGAGATGCAGCCAATTAGGCTACCACGAGGCTGGATGCTTCATCAGCCTTTTATGCTGGGCTTCCCTCAGCTGCTAGGGTCAGGGTGAGTCAGAAGAATAACGCTCACATGAGCACCTCACCTCAGGTCTGGCATCTGGATGACCAATGGATGTGCGCATGAGGCCATTCACTAAGCAGGAGACATCAGCCCGTTCCTCAGAATGGTTTTTATCTGGGAGTGAGGGAGAACAAAGCCCTCAGCCCTCCTGCCCAATCACATTTCTCACAGGGTTGGCACACCCTTCCCAAGTGTCTAGACAACATATGCTCTCCCTAGGAGTTTATAGGCACCCAGTCTCATCCCCTCCCACAAATGAATGTAAGGAGCCTCTCTACTGCTCTGTCCCACAACACACTGACACCTGACTCACTTTTGTTCTTCTTCCTGCCAAACAGGCTCTTGGTAACTTTGGCAAATAGACTCCTTGCAGGGTTGGGGGGTGTCAGATCTGGGACTGTCACACAGCTACTGACAGGGAGCCGGTCGGGGGTGTAGCCCTGGGGAAGTGAGAAATGTCAAGAAAAAAGTAAGACCCCCCAAGTGTCCTGTCTCCTGCCCCCATTCATCCTTTAGGTATATGACCCTGGGTGTCTGGAGAGCCACAGACCTTAGTAAAGAAGTCATGGCGCAGGATCTGGTCAATAGAGGGACGGTCTCGGGGTGAGGCTCGGAGGATGGCAGCCAGGAGCTGGTGGGCAGGCAGTGAGAGGCTGGCAGGCAGTGTGTAATGAACCTGCTTGATGCAGCGATAGGTTTCCTTCAGGTCAGCTGTCTCAAAGGGGGGGCTCCCACAGAGGAGTGTATACCTGTACCCAGAGATGGGGGGAGGTCAGGGGTAAAGTGGTAGGAATGCCCCACCCATGAACCTGCCACCTATCTGCTGATGACCCTTATACTCACATGACACAACCCAGTGACCACACATCTGCCTCAGGGCCATGGCCCTGTCTCAACAGCACTTCTGGAGCCACATAGTTAGGAGTGCCACAGATGGTCCTGAAAGAGGGTAGGGAAGAGAGGGGATAGGCTCAGACCCAGCCCATCAGCGCCCCCACCCCATTCCTGCCCCTGCTGTGAGTTCAGACAACAAAGCAGCTGCCTGTCACCAAAGGCCAGAGAGTTCTTGCTTGTCTTGGGACAATGGATGCTGGGAATGGCAGCTGAGTCCCCACCCACCCGCCTAGCCCAGCTGCTTAGCTGCTCTGCAGGACAAGAGGAGGTCCTGACCCCAGGCCTGACCCAGTCTCCTCTCCCAAGGTTAACACATAGGTCCCATGACTGATCCTTCACCAAATCCCGTCTGTCAAACACTCATTAGGCAGTCACCTCCCATGGTCTGCCACACACAACCAACACCAGCTGTCAGACCCACCCCCTACCCCTGGCATAAAAACTCATCTGCCACACATGCTCTGTCACAGTGGCCACAGCAGGGTCTTCTTACATAGATAAGTATCATGTCCTATCATTCCATACAGTCTAACATACACATAGTCACTGCCACAGGATCATCAGTATGCTTCCAAGAATTCTTACACTCCTATCTGTCTCAGAGACTCAGGACACCCACCCAGCTGTAGGATGTATTTGTAAGATCCTTGCACTCTCCACCAAACCCAGGAACCTAGGTTGCCACCTCCACCTTCACACAGCCAGCCCATCACCCCTTCCTTATTTATCCCATGAACACATCAGGTCACCTTGCCTCCCATATATACAGTGTCACAGACTGTGGCCACCCCCCCCACTCACTTTTTCCTCTGCTCCGGGGGCTCTAACCGAGCTGCCAGACCAAAATCCCCCACCTTCAGTTCCATGTTATCAGTGATGAAAAAATTTCCTAGACAGGGGCAGAGTGGTGTGTCAGATTCCTCTCTCCCCTTCTCCCCTCCCCATATCCCCATCCTGCAGCCCAGAACCAGGAGTCTCACCCAGTTTGAGGTCTCTGTGCAAAATGCCCCGCTGATGCAAGTACTTGAGGCCCGAAAGGATCTGCCGCAGGTAGTATCGAACCTCGGGCTCCAATAGGGTGTGCCGGGCCTTCCAGATGTGGGCCAGGGACTGCAGAAAGCCACTGCCTCAGCCCCTGCTTGCCTTCTTAGACCCTCCCTCCATCTATTCTTGCTGAGGATGGCTGGGTCCCAGCTTTGGGTCTTAAGAACCCCTTTCCCGCCGGGCGTGGTGGCGCAAGCCTTTAATCCCAGCACTTGGGAGGCAGAAGCAGGCGGATCTCTGTGAGTTCAAGGCCAGTTGGTCTACATACATAGTGAGTTCCAGGTCAGCTGGGGCTACAGGGAGACCCTGTCTCAAAAAGACCAGAAAATAAAAAAGAACTCCCTTACCCAACCCACCGCTCTCGGTTGAATCTCGCGGACTGACCTTTCGGCTGCAGAGCTCCAGGAAAATGTATATGTTGTCAGCATCTTCGAAATGGTGCGAAAAACGGACGATATGGCGGTGCTGTAAATCTCGGTGCAACTCGATCTCGTTTAGGATCTGCGATAGGGGCGGGAGATGGTCATCTTTCCAGGGTTCCCAGGCCAGCTTCCCCTCCCCACCCCTCGCCCTCAAGGCCTGGACCCACCTTCTCGCGTTGATGCGGCTTGGCGACGCGGCTCTGCGGGATGACTTTGACCGCGTAGGCGCCACCGGTCTCCCGATCAGTGGCTTCGTAGCAGCGGGCGAAGCCCCCCTAGGAGGAGGAAGCGACCTCAGTCCCGGCGCTCGGCGGAGGTGCCCAAGTCCGGGTCAGCCGCCCCGCCCTGCCCCGCTGGGCTCCCAGCCATCACGGTTAGCATCACCCCCTGAAGCCCCCGGCCCACCTTGCCCAGCAAACGGCCTTTGAAGTAAGTGCGGCCGCTGCTCGGGTCAGTGATGAGGCGCCCGGGGTCCCGCGCCGGTGGCCCAGCCAACATCTCCAGCTCCGCTCCGGGAGAGACACTCGGAGGCGGCCCTGGGCCTGCGGGGGGCGAGGGTGGGGCGGCCGCACGAGGGAAGGGGCGCGGGGACAGGAAGCCCGCGGCTGGCTCCATGCGGGCGGCGCAGCGCCTGCCGGGTTCGTCCTCGGTTCCGCCCGGCCCCAGCCGCGCGTGGCGCTGCCTGGTTTCGCTACGCTGCGCTCGCGCGGGAGGGAGCCAGGCGTTTTTATCAATGAACGCCGGTCCCCTCCCCGGCATCGCGTCATCGAAAGCCCCGCCCCTTTCCGGGCCGCAGGCCAGGAGAGGCCACGCCCCCTGGTAGCGTTACCTCACCTAAGAGCGCCTCCCCTGCCGGGCTGCACTTCGAGGCCGCACCTCCTGCTCCGGCCTTAAAGGCGCCGCGGTAGTGCTAATCACCGAGCAGGTGCAACCAGCAGCTGGCTGGCCCTCATCTTTCTTCTCCCTGCCACCGGTCCACGTGGTGACTACGTGCCCCGTTAATGGCAGCCCCCTTCTTTGTCCATTCTTCGTGGCATATGCTTAAGTCGAAGTGCGGGTCAGGTATCTGGAGGCCCCTTCGGAGCAACCGAGAGGATCAGTGTTCCAGCTGGGAGCGGAAAGGAGGGGTGGCGCTTGCTTTTCTCCAGGCACCTCACCAGTACTTCCTTTTATATATTCGGTATCCTGTGAGAGCCTCTTGCATCGAGCCAGAGCCCACAGGCCTAACCCAGTGCTGTCCTCTTTAGAGACTGTGGAATAGCACATACCAGAAACGCTTGCCTGGTCTGGGAGTGTGCAATGGGTTTGTGGAACAGCGCCTGGTATTCAAGGCTTTTACCATGTTCCAGGACACATTTTCCTCTATCCACATCATTATTTATCTTTTGAGGGGAAGGGAAGGGAAGTTGAGGTAAAGTAATTGCTATGTAACCCAGGTTGGCCTCCATCCTCCCACCTCCACCTCTGCAGTGCTGGGATCAGAGTTGTGCACCACTGCTCCCTGACTGAGGGAAGGATACCAGGCTCCTGCAGAATTCCCTATTCCCTTCTCAAAATACTGATTACCCTGCATCAGCTATCAAAAGGCCAAAAGGTGAAGAATAGGAACCTGATACTCTCAAGTGCTAGAAACAGGCAATTGGGCAGTTAGTCCAGGGGCCACATGGAGTCTTACCCATGCTCAATACCCACCCTTCCCAGGGCAGACAGAGAAGGAGTTCTAATCTCTGGAATTTTTGTCCCAGGATCACAGACCCTCTCTCCTGACTTTGTGGTCTTGCTTATCTCTGTTTTTACCCTGAACCATCCATTGAGGTCTCAGATTCACGGAGATCATCTGCTAAGTGCCAGACCATGTCTTCAGTAAGAAGAGTCAAGTTCGCAACCCTCCTTTACTTTACATGATTCTGCTTTATGCAAACAGACAATAGGTAAGTATATAAATGAAGTAATTACAGGCTGTGAAGAGTGCTATGAAGGAAGTAAACAAAAGAGCAAACCAAGAGCCTGCTTCAGAAAGAGCAGTCAGCAAAGCCAACAAATATTTACACCTAATTTCTGCCATCGAGTTTGAATTTATCTCCAAAATATCTCTAGCCCTTCGGCTACATCACCCCCACTCTGGTCTTGGTCATAATCTCTTTGTTGGGATGACTGCCACAGCACCTTCCTAGTCTTCCAACTTTGGTCTCATCACCATTTCATCTTCCCTGCATTATGTTCTCAGACATCACTCCCAATCGTTCATCAAGCACCAAGGACTTACTTCAAGCTTGCCCTTTGTTGCCACAAAAGGGAGACCCAAAATAGCCTAAGATGAAGAGAAGTGCTAGTAGCTTAAACGAGAGGCTGGGGTAAGGCTGGGCAGGAAGGCCTTAGGTTTTGTGCTCTGCAGTTTCCCAAGGGGAGACGGTAGTGGTGGGACCAGAAAGGACAAACCTCTAGGGTAAATGAGCCTGAGGCTCATGTGGAGCATCAAAAGACATATTCTAGAACTGAGCTGGAGGTTGAGGCAAGAGAATCAGGAGTTCAAGGCTGTCCTACTTAGCTTCAACTGTCAACTTGACACAGTCCAGAGTCTTCTGAGTCTCAACTGGGGAATTTCCCGGATCAGATTGGCCTTTGGCCATATATGTGAGAAACTGTCTTGATTGATGATTGATGTGGAGGGTCCACTGTAGGCAGTACCATCCCTGGACAGGTGGGCCTAGGCTGGATAAGGAAACCGGCAGAGGGGCTAGAGAGATGGCTCAGTGGTTAAGAACACTTACTGGACCTGGGTTTGGTTCCCAGCACCTATATAGCAGCTAATACTTGTACATAACTTTAGTATCGGGATCCAATGCCTTCTTCTGGTCTCTACAGGCACCAGGCACACACTTGGTGCACTTACATACCTATAGACAAAACAACTCATACACATGAAATCAAAAGAAAGCTAGCAGAAAGCAAGTGAGGGAGTGAGCCCGGAAGCAACATTCCTCCATGGTGCTGCTTCAGCTCCTGCTCTAACTTCCTCAATCATGACCTGGAAGTGTAAGATGAAATGAATCCTTTCCTCCCCAGGTTGCTTTTGGCCATGGTGTTTATCACCATAAAAGAAAGCAAATTAGAACAGAGTCATCTTTGGCTACATACATAGTGAGTTTGAGGCCAGAGGCTAGCCTGATATGGGGTCCCTGTCTCTAAAAAAGGAACTATTCAATATTGCTTTTTTTTAGCTCACAGTGCTGGGTCTTGAACCCAGGGCCTTGTGCATACTAGGCAAGTACTACTAAGCTGTATCTCCAGCTCAGTATTGCAATTTTATATTTAGAAAATAAATCAAGGTATCTATGTATTCGTTTTCTTTTTTCTAAATATTTTATTATTTTTACCTTATGTGTATGCGTGTATTGCCTGGATGTAGGTAAGTGCACCCATGTCATGCAATGCCTGCGGAGGTCAGAAGAGGCTGTCAGATCCCCTGGGACTGGAGTTACGGATAGTTGTTAGCGGCTATGTGGGTGCTGGGATTCGAACCCAGGTCTTCTACAAGAACAGTCAGTGTTCTTAACTGCTGAGCCATCTCTCCAGCCCCTATATATTACTTCTCTAGCGATGCCATAACAAAATAACTATAGGTTGGGTTGAGTGACTCAAATGATAGAAATTTATTTTCAAAGGAAAATTAAAGATCAAGGTGATTACTTTGTTTTTACATTAATTTATTTGCTTTTATTTTATATGTATGAGTGTTTTGCCTGCATCTATGTAGGTGCACTTGTGTTGTGCAGTGCCCAAAAACATCCAAAGAGGGCTCAGATCCCCTGGAACTGGAGTTACAGACAGCTGTTACCCACCATGCAGGTGCTGCAAACCGAACATGGGACCTCTGCAAGGGCAGCCAGTGCTCTTAACTGCTGAGCCATCCCTCCAGCTGTACTTTTTTTAAAAAACATTTTATGACATTTATTTATTTATGTGTATATGAGTTTGGTCAGAGGACAAATTTCAAGAGTTGGTTCTCTCCTTCCATCATGTGGGTCCTAGGGCTCAAACTCAAATCATCAGGATTAGTGGATTAGTGGCAAGCACCTTTTTCTATGAAGCCTTCTTGCCACCCCAGGATTGATTTATTTTGAGGTTGCTCTCCTTGGATTGTTGATGGCGGTCTTTCCTGAGTTCACATGATCTTTTTCTCTGTGTGTGCACCCTTGGAATCCTTTTTTTTTTTTTTTTTTTTTTTAACCCTAACTGTCTTGGAACTTACTATGTAGAGCCCATTAGGTGGCCTCAAACTCACAGAGCTCCACCTGCCTTCCTCCTACATGCTGGGATTAAAGGCATGCAACACCACATCCTGCTTTCATATACAGGGGGGGTCCTTTTTTTGTCTTTTTGAGACAGGATCTTCCTGTAGCTCCAGCTGTCCTGGAACTCACTATGTAGACCAGACTGGCCTCGAACTCACAAAGATCCACCTGCCTCTGCCTCCCAAGTGCTGGGAATAAAAGCATGTGCCACCACGCAAGACATTTTTAATCATTGAATTTTTAAATTTTTATTTTATTTTATATATATATGAGTGTATTGCCTGCATGTAAGTGCACCTGTGTCCTGCAGTGCCCATGGAGGTCAGAAGAAGGCATCAGATCCCCTGAAACTAGAGTTACGCACAGTTGTTAGCCACCATGTAGGTGCTAGGAATCAAACCTGGGTCCTCTGCAAGAGCAGCCAGTGCTCATAACCACTGAGCCATCTCTCCAGCTCCTTTATAGTTTATGTGTATGTTTTCCCTGCTTATATGCAAGTACACCCATGTTGTACAGTGCCCTGGGGGGCCAGAAGAGGGTGATGCTTGGTTGGACCTCTGGGACCAGAGTTACAGATCACTGAGCTGAACCCAGGTCCTCTGCAAGGGCAGCCAGTGCTCTTAACTGCTGAGCCATCTCTCTAATCTTTTTTTTTTTCTTTTTGAGACAGGGTCTCCCTGTAGTCCCAGCTGACCTAAACTCACTATGTAGACCAGGCTGGCCTTGAACTCACATCCATCCTCCTGGCTCTGCCTCCCAAGTGCTGAGATTAAAAGCGTGTACCACCACACCCGGCTTTTTTTTTTTTTTTTTTTTTTTGGTCTTTTTAAGATAGGGTCTCCCTATAGCCCTAACTTGCCCTTGAACTTACAGAGATCCGCCTGCCTCTGCCTCCTGAGTGCTGGGATTAAAGGTGCACCACACCAGGCACCCCTGGGTTTTTAAAAAAAATTTTGTTTATATTTACTTATTGTGGGGTCAGGGCTTGGCAACAAATGCCTTTACCTGCTGAGCCATCTTGCCAACCCTCATATCATCTTGTGAATCCTAACTCTTTTCTCCTAAGGACAACAGTCATATTGGATTACGACCCACCCTCATAGCTTCATTTTAATTTAATTATTCTCTAGGAATGCTCTATATAGTAACATTCTAGGGAGCATGGAAGGAAGTTAGAACTTCAAACTATGAAATTTGTAAGTTTCAATTCAGACCATACAGCCTATTTATTATTTATTTATCTGTGCATGTGCATGCACTGGGGATAAAACTTGGGGCCTTGTACATGGTAGGCAAGTGCTGTACCACCAAGCTATATCTACAATGCTTAGAAGTTTTTTTTGTTTGTTTTTTTCGTGAGAGTTACATGTAGCCCAGATTAGCCTTGTGCTCCCTATACAGCTGTCA